TCCTAAATTTGCACAGTAAGTCTGTATTCCTTAAATAACATTTTTTAAAAAAAAATTAAAGTGAGGGGTGGGTGCTTAGTGAGGAACCCATTGGAGTACCTGAGTCCAGTACCCAGCTCCAGCTCCCGACTCCAGCTTGCTGCTAATGTACATCCTGGGATGTCAGCGATGGCTCAAGTAACCGGGTACCTGCCACCACAGGGGAAACCGGGGTTAGTTCTCAGCTCCTACAGTTGGCCTGGCCCAATGCCAGTCATTATGGATATTTGAAGACTGAATCAGCAGAGGGGGTCTCTTTCTGTCCCTCTCTCAACTTCTCAAATAAATAAGTAAAAATTAAAGAAAAAATTAGGGCAAAATGAGGGAAAATTTAGTTTTCATAAAACTGAGCTGGGGTAAATTTTAACTCATCTATTTCTCGCCCCCCACACTCCCCAAAAAAAAGTCTGTCAGTGAATTTTGTTGTAAAAAATGTTGGAACTTTTGCATAGTTTTTTCCACAGTATGCATTTTCCATGAAATTTTCTTATTCTTTGCGTAAAAGCTATTTGTTTATTTATTTGAAGGTCAAAGCAGGAGAGAGAGAGAGAGAGAGAGAGAGAGAGAGAGAGGTCAGGAAAAGGGTACCCTCTGGTTACTTCCCAAATGGCCACAACAGCTGTGGCTGGCCAGACAGAACTCAGGCATTTGGGTCTTCTTACGCTGCTTTCTCAGGCACATTAGCAGGGAACTGGATTGGAAGCCAAGCAGCTTGGACTCTAACTGGAGCTCCAGTATGGAATTCTGGTGTCGTAAGGGGTGGCTTAATTTGCTCTGCCACAAAGTTGGCCTTCCAGGAGCTTTTCAAAGACCCCACGTAGGCATGGATTTCTTTTTTTTTTTTTTTTTTGCATCAAACTTAAATTGTCTTTAAATTCATTGTTTTGTGAACTTTTTGCAGTGTGCTCACATTTAGCCTCCTTTTTGGAGATCTCCCCTGACCCTTGTCTCCAGTATTCCTTCACATTTCTTTTATGATATATTTATCGTTCCTTTCAATATTTCATTATGTACAATCTCTTTATGCTTTAATGAATAAAATATAAAGTTTTGAAGGAATCCACTCATGCAGTGGCTTTTGTGAAGCCCTACAGCAGCTATCACATAGCTGACCCTTGGACACTCATGCAGATTCTGTGACTTTGATAAAGCCCAGGGAGCCAGGGTTCACTGTAGTAAAGATGTTGGTTCATATTGTGTTGATTAAAGGGATTGTGATGGAGGTTATAGCAGAAGAGAGAAATTGCTGCAAGTCCCCAGAATATATTTAGTCTTTAAAATAGCTATTATTTAAAAAAAGTGGGATAGGATTCACAGAAAATGGTTAAAAAATTATCCAAAAATGTTGCCATCTAGAAAAAAATTACAATTAATATTTTGATAGAATCTCTTCTAATCATGACAAAAGTGTTGGCTTTTTAAAGATTTTTATTTATTTGAAAGGCAGAGAGACAGAGTCAGAGAAAGAGAACTCTCTCCTGCTGGCTCACTCCCCCAGGTGCATGCTGGGTTGGGCCAGGCTGACACCAGGAGCCCAGAACTCAGTCTGAGTCCGGGTGGCCGGGGCCTGAGTACGTGAGTTTGCTGCCTCCCAGGTGCACATTAGCAGGAAGCTGGATCAGGAACAGAGCTGGGACTCAGACTGGTGCTCTCAAGTGTGGGATGTGGGGCTCCCAAGTGGCGCTGTAACCACTATGCCAGATGCCTGCACTTCTCTTAGCTTTTAATGCTCATGTTCCATTTGATGGAAATATCAATGTAAATATTGTTGTAATGAACAATTTTGCACATTTTGAAGTCCACATCTGTGATTACTGCCTTAAAGAAAATTCTTTAAGAAGTAGTTTCAGGATTTATAGTTCTTTTTTGGGGGGGGGGGGTGATGTGGTGGTTTAAGGTTTCCTTGTTAAGTTTTTATATTGGATAATAGATGACATGTGCAATCTTTGCTATGTCTGTTAAGATGTTTTATTTCATGAGTGTATTGTGTTTTTGTTTTTAGCTGTGAAAATTAATATTTCTTTTTTTTTTTAACAGGCAGAGTTAGAGAGAGAGAGACAGAGTGAAAGGTCCTCCTTTTTCTGTTGGTTCACCCCCCAAATGGCCGCTATGGCCAGTGTGCTGCAGCCAGTGCACTGCGCCAATCTGAAGCCAGGAGCCAGGTGCTTTCTCCTGGTCTCCCATGCTGGTGCAGGGCCCAAGCACTTGGGCCATCCTCCACTGCCTTCCAGGGCCACAGCAGAGAGCTGGACTGGAAGATGAATAACTGGGACAGAATCCAGCGCCCCAACTGGGACTAGAACCTGGGGTGCCAGCGCCGCAGGCGGCGAATTAGCCAAGTGAGCCACAGCGCCGGCCGAAAATTAATATTTCTAATCCAAAAAACATACACATAAACATCTAATATTTTGGTGTCCTTTTTCTTTGTTAAAGCTTGAGCTGCTAATTTTCTACAATAACTTTATCTGTAAAATTCTTCCAGTTTATAAATAGACTTCAATGCTTATGCTTTGATGACACATTATCTGGTACATAGAAGTTCACAGATCACACCCTCATTGCAGGTTTAATTTCATCAACATACAGTTGCCCTTTTAATGCCATTAAATGCCTTTTGCTTGGAATTCTACTTGTCTAAAATCAGTATCCCTTTTGCTTTCCTTTTGTTGTCTTGACTCTGTGTTTTTGATCTGGGGTGTATGTCTTTAATTTTGCTAAAGATAATTGTAACTGTAAGATACTGTTTTATAACAGTGCTTTTTAAATTCCCATTTCGTTTTAGTGCTTCCAGCTATCTTTTATAGTTCCTTGCTGCTTTCCTTGATGTCTAGCTGAGCTATTTAGACCATGTGTTGTTTGCTTTTATCTTTTCCAGGGAATTGGCAAGATACACTCTTTTAATATCTGCTAATGATAGTGATAAGGCTATGTTAGGCTAATAACTTAATATTCTTTTATTTCCCTCCTGTTTACCACCCTCCCCAGCCTTTGTGGATACACTGAGGTAATTACTATATTCCCTTTATAATGGTATGTTTAGTCTTTCAAGGGTAATTTCTACTTCAAGAAAAATTTGACGTTTTATTGAGTTGTATTCCTACTTATAATTTTTTAGATGTGATTCTTTGTTTGGTTTGTTTTACTGATCATTTTTGTTCCTTTTTGATTTAAACTACAGCTGTTTTATTCTAAAGCCCTTAATTTTGATTCTGCTCAATGAGATTGATCTGTTTTCTGCAGCCTTCTGTGCCTAAGGGTAAAAAATGTTTAGCGAAGTAATTCTTGGACCAAAATCTATACCCTTCAGTACTCTATCAACATTGGCTCAATCTATTTGAATATTTCCATTATAGTGAGAAAGCCTGGGACTGGCCTGGCCTTGTTTCTTTGCTGGTCACCACCCCCCCCCCCTTTTTTTATTCTGCCTAGATGGTTGAGGACTTTGAATTTTTTAATCATGTGGATATTGTCAGGATGTGTCTATAGCAAAGGTATCACAGAATTATTTTTCTTAGCAAACCGTGAGACTTTCTGATTTTCCCCTTTGGTTGCTTTTTCAGCTTTATGAGATTTTCATCTATTGTAGCTTTGACTAGTGTCACTTCTGAGTTTTTCTGACTCTCTGCTTGAATAGGTATGTTCTTGGCTATGCGTCTTCTCTGTGTGACAGCTTCTACTTTAAGTCTTTATGCTGCTTCTGCACATTCAGAGGGATTCTTTCAAGTTTAATGTCATCGCGCTTTCGTCACACGCACTCTCGTGATTTAGTTCAATTTTCTCTTGCCCCTTTACCTCCCTGCGGTCCCTGCTAGCAGCTGTCATCCTGCTGGCCGCATTTCTCATCCTCTTCTCCCTTCGTGCCCTTTGCATCTGTCTCACAGGGGCTCCATCCTCTGTTTCTTACTAAGAACACATTTCCAGTTATCTCCATTTTTCTCCTCTCTTTTTGGATTTCATGGTCAGTGGCCCGCTCTGCCTGTGACTTTCCAGCATGGCTTTGTCCTGCGGTATCTTTGGCTTTGCCTGTGCTCTTTTTCCTTTTCTTTCCTTTTCTGCAGGAGAACAGAGGAAAGAGCCCCTGGACTTCCATGTTTGCCAACAGGGCCAGTGCACTGAGTAGCCTCAGCCCTGCTCAGTGGCTACAGGGGTGCAGGCTAAAACGCCTGTTGACACCTGCAGTGGGAGGGCAGATGTGGGGCGCAGCTGCCTGTGCAGCTTCCGGTGGGTGCCTGGCACTCATCCAGCATAGTTTTGATGAACTAAATGGAGGGATTCCTTCCACCAAAATTCCCAGTCTGTCTTGGGCTCCTCTGAGATGCAGCGTGTGGGGATGTCTGAGATGACGGGGTGATGCACGTGTGTGCAGACAGGAGGGGAATTGGGCCTGGCAGGAAGCAGTCTCTGCACTCCTGTGGCTCTGCCTGAAGGCAGCCTGGGGCTCTGTGCACATGGTCAGAAGGGGGCAGGGGAAGTGTTCCCTTACCTTGTTCCAGTGAGCGGCCACATTGTTTGATGACATAAAACATGAGCAAGAGGTTCCTAGGGCGTCCTACCAGAGCCTGGCCGTACATCTGTTTGCTTTCTTGCTGTGCATCGTCACTTGCCTTTTACCTGGTGTGCGCGTGGAGAGGCGCTGGTGGCCAGCTGTGTGCAGTGATGGGCGTGATGGAGAATGGGTTCTCAGGCAGTCACCGAAGTGCTGCCTCGTTCCAGGTCTCATGGTTAGTAAGACTGTCTGTAGAAAGGGACGACTATCTCAAGGAGGTGACAACAGTGACAGGGTTCCTTACACCTGAAGGGGCTATGGGTGATTCTTATTTCATGAAGTGTTCTAAACACTTGTAATGTTTACATGTCAATTTTGTAACAACCAAGAAAAGCTAAAGCCTGCAGTAGCCTTACTCATTTCTGATTAATGTAAAGAACGTGGGCGCTTCTGTCTGCCGTTCCCTTTGTTTCAGACTGCAACACGAGTGTCCACAAGGGCTGCAGAGATGCCGCACCCCCGTGTCCCAAGGTAATCTCCCCGTCCTGTGACGAGGCCGTGTGTCTGCTTCATACTGTTTGTTTGTGCCTTCACTCTTTCGTATTGCTATCTACATTGATTTCTGAAGTGATACCATCACACGTGCTCTGAGTGGATAGCTGTTGACTTCCCTGTGCACTTGTAGAGGGGAAAGCATTAGTGTGGCCCCTGGTGTTCTATGGTAGCTGGATAGGTTGGGCTTTCTGAGGGACTGGTTCACCTGCAGACCCTGAGCTTACATACACGAAGACTACAGCAGTGATTCTCAAACATCAGCATTGCCTGGAAGGCCAGTTAAGACTGGGGACTGAGCTTCTGAGCCCACAGGTCTGGGCTGAGAATGTCTCGTGTCAGGAGTTCCCAGGGAGGCTACTGCTGGCCCTGAGACCCCGCCTCCCACCCCCACTCCCATCCTGGACCCTCTTGTAGACCTACCAGACAAGAGAATTCTCTCTGTATTTGGAGTGAGACATGCTCAAGGTAGTTGTCTTGTGTAGGCAAGAGGAGTAGCTGGGAGTAGAAAGAAGCCAGAAGGAAGTTGGCAGTGTTGATAGGAACTCCAGTTTCCGCCTTGGTCAGGACACATGATCTGGTGATTTCTGGTTCCCCCGAGGCTCCTAATGCAGCTGGGAGTCTTCCTGAGGCGTGAGGCCATGAGGCTCACTTCATGATCAGTTGCACATATCACTGTCATCAGACTTTGCTCTTCGTTGCATTTAATGCCTTTGGCTTTGAATTTCTCTTTGTTAGTTGCAAGCAAAATACGTGTAATGAAAATGATGCAGATGAGAATCCTGTTCTGTGTGACTGTGTGGATGTTCTCATAGTCCAGTGGTGCTTTGATCTTACTTTCTGTGTTTCTAATATTCTTTACCAGAAATTCCAAGAGAAATACAACAAGAACAAACCACAGACCATCCTTGGAAGTAAGTGGTGTGGAAAATGACTTGAACTTTTTAAACTTTAATATGTACCACATATTTTTCCATTGTAAAAATTCCTCTTTTTGTTTTCTGATTTACCCAATTATTTTTCTTTCATAACACATGCTTGGCATAATGTATACAGAGAGTTCAAGAAAGGTATCAGCATCTGTGCCAGTCCAAGAGCTTTTCATGGTGTGTGCCAGATGATCTTTTGTGTTATGGAGAGCTATAAGGAGAGGATGTTAGGATGTGGTCTTCATTCCAAGGCACTGTCTAGTGGAATAGAGATGCTATTGATTGAATAACCTTTTGGAGAAAAGAGGGAATGCTACATTAAACATATATGAGCTGTTTTCCTACCAGTAGCACATATCCACACAAGTATACATCACTTTCTTATGAATCACAAAGGTTGGTGGAAAAGCCCTTCAAGTTTGGAGTCTAGAGCTTCTTGGCAGTCCCTGTCGCACCTTCCCATAGTGACCTGGTGCCTTGATGAGCTGGACTTGAGGCTGTGATCTCGTTAGCACCTGTAGGATGGCAGTGAAATTTCAAGACATCTAGAAGTTTCATTTGCATTATATTTTAAAATCTCTTGGTTCTGTTTTGTTCCTAAATTATTTATGGCTGAGATTTAAATAATTTACCTTGAAAATGCTTGGTGACATATGACAGTTCTTTGCTTTACATGCAAGAACCTGTCACGCTGACATCTCCTAGGTTTGAAAATCCTGTGTGTTTTTGTGAGAAATGTTGCAGTTTCTTCTACGTAAAGTTGTTTTACATTTCAGTTCTGTAACAAGGGGTGGCTGGCTGATATTTTTACAATCACTTCAGTCAAAGGACCATTAACTATGGGGACTTGTGGTGACTTGCTTCTGGGTTAATCCCTGGGGGCAGGAGCAGCTCTCACATCACTTACCCCTTTGCCTTGACTCAAAGCCGTTTCATATCAGTTTTAAAGCTTAATTTCACAAGGATAAGAGTGAAAATTAAGAAGCACCTTAGAATTGATAAACCATCATCTGTTTCTCCTCTTTATGCACTAATCATGAAGACAAGATGAAATTATCTATGTGATATTATATATATATATATATTATCCTTTGCAATTTCCTAATGTCTATTTAAGTATTTTCCCCTTTTGTTCAGGAATGCATATGCTTATAGCTGTTAGGCAACCAAAATATTTTCTGAGAGTCCTTTATAGAAATGTCATTGTAAACACATCTACACCCAGAACGTTCCAGAACTGACCAGAAAAGTAGGAAAGTACATTTAGTTTTCACTGTGAGTGAGGGCAGCCCAGCTGGGCTTGCGGTGTCCTCTGCCTTGAGAGTCGTATGCCGTGAAGAGTGGACTCCCTGGCACCATTCCATACCCTGGATGGCGTGTGCTGCCCGTGTGTGCGTGCTTGTTTACGTCCACAGTACACATTCCAGGTCCACTGCTAATAACACCCTCCATCTAGTTAAAACTGGTTTAAGGAGTGCAAGCAGAGGTTTATGGGGAAGCTAGCCCAGTGTTTCCCCATTCCATGTGCTTGTTTGTGTCATCCCAAACACCCACAAGTCTCTAAGCACAGATGCGGAAGATGGCCCGCAGCACGGGTATCAGGAGGGTGTGAAATTGGAAGGACATTTGAAACAAGTGTCAGGATGTAGCACGGACACAGGTGTCGAGGCTGGGCGCGCAACACGTTACGAGAGGTTGTTCAGGGGTTCGGTTTCTGGCTTTTAAGTGACTGCCTTGTCGTTACTGTCCTCTGTGCCAACCACCTGAAGCATCCGCTCTGACTTCCAGACTCCTCGTTTAGAGACGCTCCACAGCCGGGTCTCTCCTTGCATACTTCTTCCTCCATGCCCATTGGATTGCCCACGGGAAGGAAGGACAGTGCGGGCCAGGTGCATCCATTGTCCAGAAGTGTCCCGGGCCCCACCTTGGAAAGGTAAGGCAAAGCGTGTGTTTGCATCTTAATGGCTGGGAGAAGCTGCCTGGACTCACTTTTCTCCCCCCTCTCGCACCCAGCTTCCGGAGGTCAGTGACATCCTTGGAGTCAGAGAGTGACAGCAGCAACTGGAGAAGCAGGTCGCACTCCGATGAGGTGCTGCAGTCCGTGGGCTCTTCTCCCTCCACGGAGTGTTTCATCATGGAAGGTGAGGAGCGTGTGCATTTGGGCTTACTTGGGTTTCTGTGGACTTTGGCTAGGCAGGGGTGCTTTCTGCAGGATAGAAGATCAAAGCAGGTTCTTTTCTTCTTTTAAAAATGAGTCTGTTTCCTGATATCTCTTTGGGATAGGTTCTGCTTTATCAAAAAGGGAGTGAAAACCTGATAGAGACCAAGGAAATGGGATGCAGATTTTAAGTGGACGTGTTCCCTAGAAAAGAGATCCTAAGCATAATGAACAGAGTGAGATATATTGTGTGCTTATTTATCATTCAAAACCTGGTGAATTAGAACTGGTTCCTACATTAGAAATGGTAACTTTTAAAATAAGAGCACTTTTTTTTTTATTTTTGACAGGCAGAGTGGACAGTGAGAGAGACAGAGACAGAGAGAAAGGTCTTCCTTTTGCCGTTGGTTCACCCTCCAATGGCTGCCGCGGCTGGCACGCTGTGGCTGGTGCACTGCGCTGATCCGAAAGCAGGAGCCAGGTACTTCTGGTCTCCCATGGAGTGTAGGGCCCAAGCACTTGGGCCATCCTCCACTGCACTCCCGGGCCACAGCAGAGAGCTGGACTGGAAGTCGAGCAACCGGGACAGAATCGGGCGCCCCAACCAGGACTAGAACCGGTGTGCAGGCGCAGCAAGGCGGAGGATTAGCCTATTGAGCTGTGGCAACGGCCAGCACTTTTTTTAAAGTGGATTTTGTTGGAGAGGATTCCGTTTTTGTATCCAAGTTGCATCAGTTAGTGATGGAAAACCAAACTGGGGGTGGGGGGGATGGTTAGGAGAGAGAAGCCTTTTCATCCATCATCTTCTCAACTTTGTTGCTCCCAACTGGAATTTAATCTCCCCATGAGTGCTGTTTGGGCAAATAGGGCTTGGTTTTCCTGGGAGATGCACCGGTGTGTTGTGGCTAATTCTGTCAGAAAAGCCTGCACTCACTTATGACCCAGGCCCTTACACTCTGCTTTGTGTCTTTGCCAACCAAGAGCAAATCAAGCACACCAGTTCAGAATCCAGACTTGAGCAAACAGCGCCAGATAACTTGGGGCAAAAGCAATCAGCGGGGCCAGATTCTGCAAGCATATTATGGATCCCGAAGCTTCCCTGAATAAAATGAAGAGTGCAACCCAAAGCAAAGGAAAAGCCTTCCGATGTCTCCCCCCCTCCCCCAGTACACACAATCATTATTTTACTATCTGATTCTCCCTGCTTTTGTGGAAGCTGTCCTGATTGCGACCATCTGGCTGGTTTTCAGATGTAAATGACAGTATTTTGGCTTCATTATTTCCCTGTTTATAGAAGTTTCTATATTTGCTGTGATGAATGCATAAGCATGGGTGGCTGGGGAGATCTCTTTGTCCACTGAATTACTGTGCTTCTGGCTTTTCTTGCCTAAACGCATATTAGATGTCGTGGATTCTTCTCTATGGAGTGACCTCAGCAGTGATGCCCAGGAGTTTGAAGCAGAATCGTGGAGTCTTGCGGTGGATCCCTTGTTCTGTAGTCAACAGGAAAAGGATGTCATCAAAAGACAGGATGTCATTTTTGGTAAGCATTTAAAATGCTGTCTTGGGCTGAAGCAGTGTGGTGCAGAGGGAAGAACATGGAATTTGAAAACATGCAGACAGCTCAGTTCTACCATTTTCCAGTTACCCAATCTCAGACAAATCATGTAACTCACTCAAACCTCGATTCCCCCATCTATACAATGGGAATAATAACCCTTGGGTTTAAAATGTTGTGAAGCTTGAATGAGGCATTGTTTGTAAATTCCATTTCCCATATCCTAAGTTTACTTAGGCTTAGCCCGTACTTTCTTCACTCTTTTGTATAAGAATCACAGTGCACGCTCACATGTTTTAGTGTTGGGGAGACAGGGTTCCTGCCTGTGGTCCTGTGGTTTGACTGTATACACCAAGGAGCTGTCGTTCAGAGCGGTGCCTGTGCCTGTGGTCGCGTGTGGCTTGGGCCAGTGCTCAACTGTGTGCTGCAGTTCTGTGCAGAGAAAACAGCCATGGTGAGATTTCACCATTTCATGCTATTTGGAGTGAGGGCAATCTAAATTGGAGGAAGTAGACTTACAGACGAATTAGGAAAAAATGAATCACAAAAAATTTTCAAGTACCAAGTCGGTGCTGAAGAGTGGGTCCAAGGATTTCCTGTATTCTAAAGATGAGACTGGCTCTTGACTGTTACAGCCCTTTGTGTGTAAGATGGGCCAAAATGTCCATTGGAGATGAGGATGACACGCGTGAGGCTGTGGACATATGTGCTTTAAAATCTGTCAAGGATTGTGGAGGTGGAAGGGACTTTCTTTCTTTCTGAGAGTTATTTATTTATTTGAAAGAGCTCCAGAGAGTGAAGGAGAGACAGAGACAGGCAAAGAGATCTTCCTTCTGCTGGTTCACTCCCCACATGACTGCAACAGCCAGGACTGGGCCAAGCTAAAGCCAGGAGCTTCGTCTGGGTCTCTCCCATATGGGTGAAAGGGTCCCAAACACTTGGGCCATCCTCCACTGTTTTTCCCAGCCCTTTAGCAGGGAGCTGGACCAGAAGTAGAACAGCCAGGACATGAACCAGCGCCCACATGGAATGCCGGCATCCCAGGCGGCAGCTTTACCTGCCGCACTACAGCACCAGCCCCTAGTGGGAGTGACTTTGGAAAGGAAGATGTATGTCCCAAGCTAGCTAGCTAACTATATGTGTGTGTGCGTGTGTGTATGTGTGTGTGTATATATATATATATACACACATATATAAATATATACACATACATATATATATATATATAAAAGCGAATCTGTGTATTATACTATCAGTTTTCATGATTGGCCTCTCAATTTCATAGACTGTTAAAATGTAACCCGTTCGGGATGAGTTCTGACACACAGCATGGCCCTGGCTGTGAGACAGGCTCGTTCCCCGGGTGTGACCCTTCGCCCTCTCCTCTTCTTCATTTCCCTCTTAAAGACAAGGAAATCATTCCTATCTTTGGGGTCATGATGGGCTGATGGATTAATGGATTAAATTAAATGACAGAGGTAAGTTTTAGCTCAGAGCAGGAACTAAGAACATGGTAGGATATAGTAATTATAGTCAGTGATTCCCGATTGAGACTTTTTGTTTATGGTAAACCAGTAAGTAAAGCTCTGTTCAGACTTAGGTGCTCTTCGTGGCTGATATTGTAGGCTCTTTCCCCAAACATGCAGTAAGTTTGAAAGTATTCATTAATGCGCACTTGATCGCAGTCAAAAGGCCGAGAAGCAATTTTCATTAATATAGAACTTCTGATGTTCCCCCAAATTGTGATTTATTGTTTTCTGTCAAGATGCATTTTAAAATGGAGCAATAATGCATGTCCCGTAGACGTCATCCTCTCACAGCACGCTCTCCAGTGATTTTCAGGGTATGTAGGAGCTTCAGAAGCCTTTATAGATATGGAATTAGCTGATGTTGATTTTGGTGTCAAAATGTTTAAGTTCATTCATATGAGAAGTTTCAAATATTTCATAAAAATGCATACTATGAAAATCCCAAGGGTGAATTTAAATTTTTTGGGCCAGGATACACTATCTCTTAATTCCATTGACCACAACTTTTGAAATATTCTCTTGTTCTCAGAGTTGTACCACTGTCAAGGACTAACTCATTCCAGAACATTTGTGTCACTGCGAAAGAAACCCTGTACTCATTATGTCCTGTCCCCCATACCCCCTCCCTCTGGCAACCACAAATCCACTTTCTGTCTCTTTGAATTTGCCTACTCCAGACATTTCACATAAATGGTTCCATATATGGTCTTTTGTGACTGGCTTCTGTCACCTAGCGAAGTGTTGTCCAGGTTTATCTTTGTTGGAATCTGTATTGGTGTTCCATTCCTTTTTATGGCTGACTAATACTCCATTTTGTTTTTCCAGTCATTGGTTGATGTAGGTTTTGAGTTGTTTGTGCATTTGGGGTTGTTTGGTAACTGTATGTTTGACTTAGAGAGGAAATGCCAGAGTGTTTTCTAGAGTAGCTACACCATGTTACACTCCCACCAGCATTGTAGAAGGGCTCCAGTTCCTCCTCACCAACATTTGTTTATCGTCCCTCTTTTTTATTGGAATTATACTGGTGTGTGAATGGGTGCCTCAATCCCTAATGGCTAATAATGTGCCTTTTTTCATGTGCATATTGACCATTATCTCTTTGGGGAGATATTTAGCCAAATCCTTTGCCCATTTTTGAATTTTTAAAAATTTTAATAGACACATAAAAATTGTACATATTTATGAGGTACCATGTGGTATTCTGATACATGTACACACTGTGTAATGTCCAATCAGGGTAAACATATCTATATCCTCAAACATTTAACATTTGTTTGTCAGGAAAACATTCAAAACCCTAGCGTCTAGTTTTTGTTTTAGAGAGAAATTGACAGTACATTGACATTGTAGTCACTCCACTGTGCACTTGAACCCCAGAACTTTTTACTCCTATCTAAAAATAACTAAGTACTCATCAAACTTTCCCCATCCTCACTCCTCCCAGAAGATCTAAACAGACATTTCTCAAAGGAAGACATAAAGTGGCCAGCAGGTATGTGAAACAGTGCTCAGGGAAATGCAAATCAAAACTCTAATGAGATACCCCCTTATCTCAGTTATATTGGTAATTATCAAAAAGAGGAAAGATAGAGGTCGGCGTTGTGGTGTACTGGGTAAAGCTGCTGCCTGTGATGCCAGCCTCCCATATGAGCATCGGTTTGTGTCCTGGCTGCTCACTTCCAATTCAGCTCTCTGCTAATGGCCTGGGAAAAGCAGTGGAAGGTGGTCTAAGTATTTGGTCCCCTTACATCCATGTGGGAGACCCGGATGAAGTTCTTGGCTTCTTGTGGCCATTTGGAGGAGTGAACCAGGAGGTGGAAGATCTCTCTCTCTCTGTCTCCCTCTCTCTCTCTTTCTCTCTCCCTCCCTCCCTCCTTGTAACTCTTTCAAATAAATATATCTTTTAAAAATACAGAGAAAAGATAACAAGTGATAGTGAGAATGTAGGGAAACATGAGCCCTTGTAGGAATGTAAATCAGTGTAGCCATTATGGAAAAAAGTATGGAAACTGGTACCTAATCCAACAATCCCACCAGTGGGTGTGTGTCCAAGAGAATTGAGACGAATCTGTCAAAGAGACACCGGCACTCCCATGTCTATTGCAGCACTGTTCACAATAGCCAAGAAGTGGAAACAACCACAGTGTCCACCCACTGATGAATGGATAAAGAAAATGTGGTTTGTAGCATCATAGAATGCTACTTGGCCATAAAAAGGACAACATACTGTTATTCAAAACAACAAGGGTGCAGCTGGCAGTCATGTTGAATGAAATAAGCCAAACACAAAAAGACAAGTTTGCACATGGTCTCAGTCATGTATGGACTCCATTAAATGATACAGGTAAGTTCTTAGCTCCTGTGGAGTCTACAGAAAGTGAGCTCATGGAAATTAAATATTGGGTTGCTTTTAATTGTTGAATTGTAAGAGTTTTTACAATTTTACTGGTAGGTAGGGAGGTAGATGGTAGTTTGCATTGATGGAGATCATGTGTCTCGTAAATCTTGTTTAAAACACGTTTCTGCTGCCATGTTTCAGAGCTGATGCAAACGGAAATGCATCACATCCAGACCCTGTGCATCATGTCTGAGGTCTTCAGGAAGGGCATGAAGGAGGAGCTGCAGCTGGACCACAGCACCGTGGACAAGATCTTCCCCTGCTTGGATGAGCTGCTTGAGATCCACCGGCACTTCTTCTACAGTATGAAGGAGCGAAGGCAGGAGTCCTGTGCTGGCAATGAAAAGAATTTTATCATCAGCCGAATTGGAGATATTCTGGTGCAACAGGTAAGAAGGATTCATTTTAAAGCCTCTGACCTCCAAAGCTTGAAAGGGTTGCCAAACTCTCCACAGGGTTGAAAGCCTGTGAAGAAATGGAATTTGTTTCAGTATGGTGATTACCAGGTGGGTTTGGTTGGTGTCTGTTTATTGGACATTGGTTTGTATGATGGATCCAATGACGGGCTTCTCTGTCACAGCACTTGGCTGATCCTTCCAGGCCTCTCTGCTCCACCAGGGGTCACGAGCATGATCCCTGTGTGAAGTTTCTACTTAGTCTTTATGATTTGATGAGATCTCTGATAACGTGGCTCCCCCAGTGGGCCTGTGCTAGTCTCACCAATGTCTCCAGGGTAAATACTGGCTCATGTTAGAAGAGGGAGGCAAATTGCTTGGATTAAAGCCCTAGAGTGGATGCCTGTGGGATAAGAGAAGCAAGGGTCACTAAGAAAAGGCACTTTTTAAAAGTGCTTGGGATATTTGAGCCATCAGCAAGAATGGACTGGACCACCCTCCTGATAAAGCCACCACATCAGCACCTGCTGTTGACAGTGGGCATTGGCCCCAGGATCCGTCTGAAGGGGCTCCTCAGGAAACAAGCCAATGGAGACGTTAGGTAACATGTATTCAGGGACTCTGATGAGGCAGATAATTTTTGAGTTCTTTGTGTGCATTACATCATTTAACCTTTACAATCTCATGAGGTAGATGTTATCTTTCCCTTCATACAGATACAAAAAATGGCCCATAGAGAAGGAAATGACCTTCTCAAATTCATATATCTCCTAGGTGACATAATCAGGATTTGAATCAGAATCTGCTCTTTGATCAGCACCAGCCAGGACTAAGATGTCTTGAGCCATCCATGGTGACATTCTAGAGAAGTGTTTAACCTCATAAGTCCCAATCAGTTAGGGAATCCTATTTTGTTACTACACATTTCAGAATCTAGAACAGATACGAGATAACAGAAATAAAACAGTCACCTGCAGTCCTTGGGGAAAGGTGTGGAGATCCATCCATAGTTAACTGTGGTGTGGCTTTCCTTAGGCAGAGCTGAAAATACCATCTTCCCCCCAAATACAATTCTTTTTAAAGATGTATTTATTTGAAAAGTGGAGTTACAGAGAGAGGAAGAGACATACACACACACACACACACACACACACACAGAGAGAGAGAAAATCTTCCATTCGCTGGTTCAATCCCCAGATGTCCCAGAAGCCAGGGCTGGGCCAGGCAAAAGCCAGGAGCCAGGAGCTTCTCCCAGATCTCCCATGTAGGTGCAGGGGCCCAAGGACTTGAGCTGTCTTCCACTGTTTTCCCATGTGCATTATCAGGGAGCTGGATTGGAAGTGGAGCAGCTGGGATTCGAACTGGTGCCCATATGGGATGCCAGCTTCACAGGTGACTTTACTCGCTATGCCACAAGGCCAGCCCCCAAAATATGAATTTTTCAAGTATATTTACCCTGCCAGTGCTGGAGTTCAGCTGTTGGCCTTTTGGCTAAAAACCAGAGAGTTAAGTTTGCTGGTATAAATATGCTTAAACACAGATATTTCTAATGCCCAAAAACAAAGCTTAAGATTTATTGCCCAACAGTTGCTCCTACATGTTGAACAATGTAGAAATCCACATTTTAAAGAATATTTTAAAATCAAACAGATATCTGCGTTGCAGATTAAAGTCTAAGCTTGTTCTGGCCTTATAATTTACCTCAAACCTATGGTGCAAGTTAATTGACTATAAGGTATTTGCAAGACAGTTGAATAAAAATGTCTAAGTGAATTTGTGAATACATTCAAACATAAAATGCAAGATATTTATTCGGTCATTTGAGATTATGTGCATCTCTTTCCTTGCTCTAAATGACCATGACTTCACTGTGTTTTGATTCTAATTGCTTAAGCCAGTTTCATTGTTAAGTTGCTTTCACAGTTAACAGCAATTGCACATCTTGTCACTTCTCTGGAGAAGTCCAGGACCTATACTGAGAGCAAGGTTTGGGAAGTGGTCTTTTGGATGAAGCATAACCCCTTTCCCTTTCATCGAAAGGATCCTTGGTATTCAGAGAAGAGGAGTTAAGTCTGCTTTTATGTTCTGGTTGTTGACCAAGTTTCGTGGGTATGGAAAGGTGTCCCTCTAAAATTTTTTAATTTCCTGAGGATTAAATTGGCAAAATCTTGAGACAGTGGACATGGGCATGGTGCTTTTGGGAACAAAGGAAGAGACAAAGCTGGTTACAGATTATGAAAGGGGAGTTTGAGTGAATCCCACACTCTACTGAGTCAACATGATTTCAGGAAGTTGGGCTGGACTATGTTATAGTTTGGTCATTGGGAATTCTTGGTGTTGGTGAGAAATTGTGAATATGGGAATGTGGTTAGGATAAACTATGGCAGTTCCTCAGAAAACTAAAAATACATCTACCCGATGACCCAACTACCTCACTCTTGGGAATATATCCAAAGGAAATGAAATCAGCCTATGAAAGAGTTGCCTGCACTTCTAGGTTAATAACAGCTCAATTCACAACAGCAAAGATATGGAATCAACCTAGATGTTCATCAACTGACAGCTGGATGAAGAAAAGGTGATATATATCCATGATGGAATATTACTCAGCATTAAAAAAGGATGAAATCCTGACATTTGCAACAAAATGGATGCAACTGTAGATCAGTGTGCTAAGTGAAATAAGCCAGATACAGAATGATAAAATCATGTTTGATTTGTGGAAGTTAATATATAGGAGAGAATAAAAATTGGGCAGATGTGATATCATTTGGTATTTAGTTATAAATACTATAGCATGTGGATGGCAGGGTACTCCTTTCCCCACATCATGGTCATTGTCATGAGTCCCTCACTCTGTAATAGTAACATCTCTGCTTTCAAGAAAAAAATAGCATATATGTGTGTAATGTCTACATTTTAAGTGAATGTGACAAAAGGTTGAAAAATTGTAAAATCATAATTTTTAAATGTTAAAAACAAGGTGAAGTACACAGATGCAAAATTAGAATATGATCCTTTCTGCTATAACAACAAGATTTTCTTGGAATATTGGTCTCTCTTAATAAGCCCTTTATTTACCTTTAGTCTTAAGTTGTATTTTATCAAAATAATTTCTGGTGCTTCATGTTGTCTTTATTATGATCTTTGTTCAGAAGAAAATGAATCGTCTACGATCTGAGGGTTTTGATCTTCAGCTAAGTAACTTTCTCTATTTGTCTTTGAAATTTTATTGGCACTTTGGTTAAATAGATAACTATGGTTTCACAGTGAAAAATTTTTAAAATGCAAAAAAAACCCAAAAAAACTCAGTAGTTGAGAAGTTTCCAGAAAAGTACAAGAGGCTTCAAAACATTCATGGAAAACATGTATTATGAAAAAAACCTATGTATGAATTTCAAATGTTTCTTGGTTTTTTTGGGTACCAAAATAAATATCTTTTTTTTTAAAAGATTTTTTTATTTATTTGAGAGGTAGAGTTACAGACAGGAAGAGGAAGAGACAGAGAGAAAGGTCTTCCTTCTGTTGGTTCACTCCCCAAATGGCCACCTTGGCCAGCGCTGCACCAATCCGAACTCAGGAGCCAGATGCTTCTGCCTGGTCTCCTATGCGGGTGCAGGGGCCCAAGGACCTGGGGCATCCTCCACTGCCCTCCCGGGCCACAGCAGAGAGCTGGACTGGAAGAGGAGCAGCTGGGACTAAAACTGGTGCCTATATGGGATACTGGCACCACAGGTGGAGGATTAACCTACTGTGCCATGGCGCTGGCCCCAATCAACATCTTTTAATTCCATTTCTTTACATGTACTTTTTATATAAAGATGTGCACACAGAAAAAGCTAATATAGTATACTGTTAATAAATGATGAGTTTAAGTTTTGAGGTGGGGGGGGGAGCCAAAATCCAATAATTTCCAACCTCAGGGATGTACGTAGGGATCACCTGAAGCTTGTTATAAATGAAGACTCCGTGTTCCAGCACCCACTGGTTTTACTCTTGTAGGATCTGGGATTTGGAAAATTTAAATTTTTTTCATGTTTTAAATTATTTTCCCTCTGATGGGAACATCTAGTAAAACTATAATATAGGCCGGGGCCGTGGCTCACTAGGCTAATCCTCCACCTTGCGGCGCCGGCACACCAGGTTCTAGTCCCGGTCGGGGCGCCGGATTCTTTCCCGGTTGCCCCTCTTCCAGGCCAGCTCTCTGCTGTGGCCAGGGAGTGCAGTGGAGGATGGCCCAAGTGCTTGGGCCCTGCACCCCATGGGAGACCAGGAGAAGCACCTGGCTCCTGCCATAGGATCAGCGCAGTGTGCCGGCTGCAGCGCGCCGGCCGCGGTGGCCATTAGAGGGTGAACCAACGGCAAAAGGAAGACCTTTCTCTCTCTCTCTCTCTCTCACTGTCCACTCTGCCTGTCAAAAAAAAAAAAACCAACTATAATATAATATCACAACCAGGATGCTGGCATTGATATAGTCACAAGAAATATTCTGTGGCCATTCTCCCTGACCTGTGGCAACCCGCTAATCTGTTCTCATTTCTATAATTTTGTCATTTCAATAACATTATGGAAATGGGAACTACACACCTAAAATATTGTTTGGATTGGCTTTTTTTTTTTTTTCCGTTTGGCATGATTCTTTCACGACTTATCCAGGCTGTTGTATTTATCAGTGATTCATTGCTTTTTACTGCTGAATAGTATTCCATATGATGGACATACCACAGTTTGTCTCATCATTTACTTGTGTAAGGTCATGTTGTTTCTAGTTTGGGGCTGTTATAAATAAAGCTGCTATAAACATTCATTTGCAGATACTGGTGCAAACCTAAGTTTTCATTTTGCTGGGATATATGCCTAGGAATGTGATTTCTAGGTGTATAGTAGTTGCATGTTTAGTTTTGTAAGAAACTGTCAACTGGTTTCTGAAGTAGTTAAACCATTTTACATTTCCATCAACAGTCTCTCTGCTTCCATACCAGCATGTGGCATTATTACTGTTTCTGATTTTGGCTATTCTGAGAGGTGTAAATCTTATTGTGATTTAAATTGTGTTTTCCTAATGGCTAATGATGGTATATTTTCATGTGCTTATTTGTCATTAGTATAATATTTTCAGTAAAACATCTGTTCACATCTTTGCCAGTTTTCTAATTGGATTGTTTTCTTATTGTTGAAAATGGAGTTGCCTTCCATATTATAGATATTAGCTTTTGTCAGATAAGTGGTTTGCCAATATTTTCTCTGACTATTTAACTTGTATTCTCATTCTCTGATTTTGATGAAATACAGTTCATCATTTTTTCCATTTAAGGATCTTGTCTTCGGTTTCATGTCTAAGAACTGTTTGTATAGCCATAGATGCCAGAGTTCATCCTTTTTTTTTTCTAAAATATTTACAATTTTATGTTTTACATTTAAGTTTAGCTACTGTTTTGAGTTAATTTTTGTATGTGAGACTTTAAGTTGATGTTTTATTGTTGTTGTTGAAAATCCTTCCTCTATTGAATTGCTTTTGCACTTTTCTCAAAAATCACTTGGACATATGGGTTCTGCGGATCGTAACTGTAGCAACACAATACATCTGGAAATTGGAAGCTTGAGTTCTTCTATTTTGTGAATCTTTTTCAAAATTGTTTTAGCTATTCTGGTTCCTTTTATTTTTCATATAATTTCTGGAATACTCTTGGCTGTATTTACAAAAAGCTTACTGGAGTTTTGATAAGAATTGTACTAGGCCGGCGCCGCGGCTCACTAGGCTAATCCTCCGCCTAGCGGCGCTGGCACACCGGGTTCTAGTCCCGGTCGGGGCGCCGGATTCTGTCCCGGTTGCCCCTCTTCCAGGCCAGCTCTCTGCTGTGGCCAGGGAGTGCAGTGGAAGATGGCCCAAGTCCTTGGGCCCTGCACCCCATGGGAGACCAGGAAAAGCACCTGGCTCCTGGCTCCTGCCATCAGATCAGCGTGGTGCGCCGGCCGCAGTGCGCTGGCCGCGGCGGCCATTGGAGGGTGAACCAACGGCAAAAGGAAGACCTTTCTCTCTGTCTCTCTCTCTCACTGTCCACTCTGCCTGTCAAAAAATAAAAAATAATAAAAAAAATAAAAAAAAAGAATTGTACTACACATGTGTATCAGTTTGAAGAGAATTAACTTCTTTGCTGTGTTGAGTCTTCCAGTCCAGCAACTTGGTATTTATTTACATGTGTCATTTCCTTCATTGGCCTTGTATTGTTTTTGGCACACAAATCTCATCCTGTATGTGTTTTTCAGATTTGTACCCATGTGGATTTTTTAGTGATTTTAGGTAATCCGAGGATCATTTTTGAGACGTGCTGTCTTCAAGCACAAAACAGACTCTGAGTGAGGATGAAAAGGCTAGAAATGGTGATGGACATTTCACTTCTCAAGGGGAGGAGGATGTGTTCTGGTTTCTGTTGCAATGATCTTGAAAACGTTGGCATTCCAGACACTGAGCTAATTCTTCCTATAGCAGCTTATGATTCTAAGTGGGTTCCTGTGTAGATTTTTCTATAGTTCAGGCTTATTGTAACATCCAGTCCACATTTCTGCTTTCCTTTATCAGTTAATAAATTGGCATTTTGGTTGTCATTCCTTCTCATCTCAGCTGTTAGTAGCTTGCCTGTCCATCTGTTTGTGATGTGTGGACAGAAATCAAATTCTCTGGCGAGGACCAAGTTCATGGACGTGGTCAACAGCTGATGTAAATGCCAACAGGTGATTTGTAGGAGAGGACAAAGCTCTCCAAGGTCCCCAAATGTTGTTGCATACCCTTCCTTTAATCTGTAAAAGTACAAAAACTAAAAATAGGAATGATAAAGTTGCAGAAAAACTAAAAAATTGATAGAACAACACCAAGTGCCTTCCAACTTGCAATATGATAATTACATTAATTCACTGTAATATTGACTTGATCAGGTTACGTTGCCCCTTACTGCTGAACTACTTCCTTTGTTTTAAGACATTTTATTGAAATACTTTATACAGACCAAAAAATGCATATAAATATACAGATAAATAAGTTCTTTGTTCTCTGGTCAACACCCAAATTAAGAACAAAATATTACTAGTACCCCAAGAGTAATCTAATTTAAATTGTAATTTAATTTAAAAAGCGTCTGGGAAAGAGAAGCCATTGCATTCAGAAATTCCGTGATGCTTATTTGCGAAGAATACTTTGAAATATATGAAAATCGCATGTTCTTTTCTGTGTTTGGAACTTACTAAACTTATAAGTCTTTATTGAAATGTTGTCATTGTTCTCAGTTTTCAGAAGAGAACGCAAGCAAAATGAAGAAAATATATGGAGAATTCTGTAGCCATCACAAAGAGGCCGTTAGCCTCTTCAAAGAGCTCCAGCAGAATAAGAAGTTTCAGAATTTTATTAAGGCAAGTGTTTCCCAACGTTATTGCCAAGCGGTTGGCCCGTCTGGGGAACAGTTAGTTCATGCTTGTGTCTTACAGGAGTTAAGCAGATGCTTAACTCCAGGTGCTGTTTTGCAGGGAAAGGAGAAGAAAGTGATAGGCTTTGTGGCAAACAGGGAAAATATCTTCATCTGTGTTAGTAAAATATTTTTCCCAGCACATTTCCTTCTCTGTCTTATATCTGTGAGGGCATGTCCTCCAAACTTCTGGGGATATTTGCAGTATTCTGGGAAACTGTTCCATGCCTTGACAAGTTATAGAAGAGAAAAACCAGAATAAAAATAAACACAGATCCCACTCAAGCCCTGCTCAATTAGTTCAAAGCAAATCCTCAGCATCATATAATTTTATCCACAATAGGTGATGTATCTTTAAGAAATTACAGCAACATTGTCATACTTTAAAATTAGCAATAATTCCTTGATATTTTCATATTTCCCTGATTATCTCATCAAACTTGATTGTTTAAATTGGGATCCAATCAGGGCTCACATATTGTATGTGGAGACTTTATCTCTTAATTTTAATTTTAATATTCTCCTTCTAATTTATTTATTGAAGAAATTTAATCAATAAAGCATCCTGTGTTCTGAATTTTTGCCTTCAATTTTTAGAATGCCACCAGATTTTCTTCCCTCTTTTCCCATGTATGTGTGAGAAGGTGAATGCTTAAGGGATACTTGGAGATTTTTAGAAAAATGCTTGGCTGGCGCCGCGGCTCACTAGGCTAATCCTCCGCCTTGCGGCGCCAGCACACCAGGTTCTAATCCCGGTCGGGGCGCCGGATTCTGTCCCGGTTGCCCCTTTTCCAGGCCAGCTCTCTGCTGTGGCCAGGGAGTGCAGTGGAGGATGGCCCAGGTGCTTGGGCCCTGCACCCCATGGGAGACCAGGAGAAGTACCTGGCTCCTGCCATCGGATCATCGCGGTGCGCCAGCCGCAGCACGCCAGCCATGGCGGCCATTGGAGGGTGAACCAACGGCAAAGGAAGACCTTTCTCTCTGTCTCTCTCACTGTCTACTCTGCCTGTCAAAAAAAAAAAAATGCTGCTCTGATGAGAGGAATCTTTAAGTGTTATAATGGGTAATAAAGAGTGTGGAGGAAGACACACATGCACACGCAATAAACTGCAAAATCGTGTTCAAAATCTAACTTTGATTTCGAATTATTTTTCAAAAATTTTTGCTATCTACATATCCTGGCACTTAGGAGTGGGAACTTATTCCCCATGGGAATTAAACACAAATACATTCAAGAGTAACTTGAAGCTTCCTGAAACCTTAGAGAGGCTGGGGTATTGAAATTAGTGACAACGTATACAATTTAGTGACTGCACATCACATTTTTAATTCCTGGTGATGGATTTGATGTTACATCTGAATAGAATGATCCTGTTGCTGGTGATTCCTGTCATTAAATTCGCACCTAAACAGTCAATCCAGGTAGATTTGTGTATATCAAAATGTCTCTGCGTATTTTTCAGCTGTGGAACAGTAACCTGCTGGCTCGACGCCGCGGAGTTCCAGAATGCATTCTGCTGGTTACTCAGCGCATCACCAAGTACCCTGTGTTGGTGGAAAGGATTCTGCAGTACACAAAGGGTGAGTGACGGCTTCTGGGACAAACGCTTGGAGGTTAAACTTAGCTGTAAGTGCTTATGGCTTCTAATTCCTGAAGGTTTTCATTATGGGGAAACTGGTAAAGCCTTAGAATTTATTTTGAGGACTTCTCTTTTATGACGCAGCGTGGTTAATAATCTGAAGTCCTACAAGTGATCTCGAGCCTGGCAGGCTTCTTCATACCTCGACTCTGCTTTGGCCTCTCCTTCTGCCCTGGATCCAGACCTCCTTAACACATCTTCTTCCTCCTCTTCCTCTTAGCCTCCCAGCCGTCTAGTGAAGCGAGATGCCACTGATCATGTCACCAGATGTCAGCCCCTGAGCAGTAGGTTGCTAGATTGAGAACGATTGTGTGAAGGAGCTGTGACTTTGTCAGTTCCTGAAGTTCTGAGGAGTCACATCCGAGTACCTTTTCAGAGGCTACTAAAGCACCAGCTGGCCTGTGAGCCCCTTGGGACCTCTGTAGGCCCCGTGTGTCTCTGGCTCACAGCTGGATTTCGATGTCTAGTGCAGTGGCTGATACAGAAGGCTGTGAAAAAGTAAATACTGATCAGTGCAGAGACTGGAGAAATAAAAATACCTACCCCTCAAACTAGCGTATTGCGCTTTCATAAGTTATGATTCGGGTGGTCGTGGCATTTTACCAACAAGGGCTTGGGTTGGGATTGTGTGACCTTGTGTGGGCATCGAATCTGCTTGCCCCTGCCACTCAGCAGTTCAAGTCCATCACCTGAGCCTTGGTTTTCTCTTGAAATCATTGTGAGAATTAAGTGAGGATATCTCAGAGCAGGACCTCCTACAAACTCGGTGCCCTGGGTGGGAGCTGGTTTTATTGCTTCATTGCTATCAGTTGACTTAGAAACAATTAGCATAGTAATGAGATTCTCAGTGCTCCTCTAACATCTTTCCCTTTCTTGGAAGGGGTGTGCGTGAGTAGACACACAATGAATTCTTTCCATTTCTTTAGTCACACTTAGAACCAAGTTCAGGCATGAATGGTAACATCTATTCCTTATGTTCCATTTTTTAAAAGATTTACTTAGGGGCTGGTGCTGTGGCATAGCCAGGAAAGCCACTGCCTGTAGTGCCATCATTGCATATGGGCGCTGAGAAGATGGCCCAAGTGCTTGGGGTCCTGAACCCATGTGAGAGACCTGGCTTCCGATTGGCTTAGCTCCGGCTGTTGTGGCCATTTGGGGAGTGACCAGTGGGTGGAAGACCTCTCTCTCTCTCTCTCTCTCCCTCTCTCCCCCTCCCTCCCTCCCTCCTTCCATTCCTCTCTCTCTCTCCCCCTCCCTCCCTCCTTCCCTCCCTCTCTCTCTCTCCCTCTCTCCCCCTACCTCTCCCTCCCTCCCTCTCTCTCCCCTCCCCCTCCCTCTCTCCCCCTCCCTCCCTCTCTCTCTCTCCCTCTCTCTCCCTCCCTCTCTCCCTCCCTCTCTCTCTCTCCCTCTCTCCCTCCCTCTCTCTCTCCCTCTCCTCTCTCTCCCCCTCCCTCCCTCTCCCTCTCTCCCCCTCCCCCTCCCCCTCCCAGTCTGTAACTCTGCCTCTCAAATAAAAGGCAGAGAGAGAGAGAGATCTTGCATCTGCTCATTCACTCCCTAAGTGGCAACCACAACTGGGGCTGGGCCAGGCTGAAGCCAGGAGTCAAGTACTCCATCCTGTTCTACCACATGGGTGGTAGGAGTCCAAGCACTTGGGCCATCCTCTGCCTCCTTCCCCTTAGCAGAGAGCTGAATTAAAAGCAGCCAGGACTCAAACTGGCACTCATATGAGATGCCGGCATCTCAGGTGGTAGCTTAACCCACTGTGTCACCATGCTGGTCCCCTTATGTCTCATTTTTATTGTGCCCTACAATTAGCAACAAAATTTGAACAGAAATAGAAAACCATAAATTTTGTTGTCAGCAAAAGAATTTAAATAAAATTAAGCCTTTTCAGCCTGTTTGTGTTCTCTTTCTTAAGCTTACTGCAATGCTTCAAGGACTGAGAATCTGTCGAGTTGCATTAGCTAGCTAGCACTATTCCAGGAGCCAGCCCAGCCCATGCCGTGTTCCTGGGAACAGCACCACTGATTGTGGACTGAACATCTGGACGGATGAGGGTGACGTGCGGCTCCTCAGGGGCAGTCAGCATGGCGGCTGGATGACGCCCCCTCCTTTGGCCAGGCCTTCCTGGTGGTGGGCCCCTGCCTGGGCTCCGGGGACACTGGCTCCCATGAGGGTGGGGGCAGTGCTCCGCACACCTCATTCCCCTGATCTGGGGACTTGGCTTACACGCAGATTCTGAGTCAGTAGGTCTGGGGCAGAGGCCTAGGCAGGCATTTCTAACCACTCCCAGGTGAGGCCGATGCTGCTACACTTAAAGTAGCACAGCCTTCCAAGGCGGTCATTTGTCCCCAAAGGTCAAAGGACTTGGAGCCTTTTCTTGGTTTTAGCTATCACCTTGTAACCCAACTTTGATTTTCTCTTTCCTGTGGATGAGATGTTTTTTGTATAAAAGAACTTTTTATTTATTTATTTATTTGGAGAAGAGGGGTTTAGTGGAAGTCAGGTGCGGTATAGTGGTGGGTGTACTCTTTGCCAACAGGAAGAATAAAGATCCGCCCTGTGAAGGCGGATGCCAGGATCGGTCCCTGATAAAACACTGTCTGCTGAAGACAGTTAGACCCTGGGAGTGTTTAGAGCTTTTGGAGGACTTGCTCTCAGCTACTCGGCTGCCATTTCCAAGTGTTTGTTTCTGCAGCTCTGGGCTCTTGAGAAACTTCAGCTTTGCTGCCAGTTTTGCTTCCTTCCCTCTCCTTCCAGCACCTTCTGACCTCCTGAAACATCACCTTTCACTCCAGGCGCTTCAGTAAGTCTCAGCTGGGTAGTCGGTATCATCAAATCCAGAAAACCGCGAGTATTTTGCTAAGATCGTCTAGAGAGAAGAGCAGGTGCCAGCGTTTTAAAGAGTGACGACAGGGATCGCTGGTTGCTTGATTTGTTGGCATGAGTCGATTGACTTATGCACTGGGCTCGGCCTTGCAGCAGGGTGAAGTTCTCAGGAGTGTGGCGTGAGGATGGCTTGAGCCCCCGTGTCTGAGAAGGGGAAGGGAAGCCCACGCTAGCAAAAAGCACATTTCCTGCCGTGGGGACACTCAGATCCCTCCCTGGAACACACTCGCCATGTTGTTAGCCAAAGCAAGCATTTTCTAGCCAAATCATGTAATGGTTCTTTTCTCGGGGCGGGGCGGGGGGATGCAGAGGGGTGGTATCGTGTTTGAATTAATACAACAGTTTTCTTCCGGGATTCGCGCTTGGATGCCACATTTATATGGAAAAGCTAAGGGAAAAACAATGTTGCTCCCTAGCACTCTGGCTTGTCATCTGGAGCTCTTCTTTCCTTTTTCCCAAGCAGAAAGGACTGAAGAACACAGAGACCTGTGCAGAGCTCTGTCCTTGATTAAAGACATGCTGGCAGCTGTGGACCTGAAAGTCAACGAGTATGAGAAAAACCAAAAGTGGCTGGAGATCCTCAGTAAGATTGAAAACAAAACATGCACGAAGCTCAAGAATGGCGATGTGTTCAGGAAGCAGGCGTTGGTGAGCCAAGAAAGGACCCTCTTGCACGACGGCCTCGTGTACTGGAAGACCGCCACCGGCCGCTTCAAAGGTACCGGGGCCCCGCCAGGCCGAGCCTCCCTCGGGCACACACACGACACCTTCAGCAGAGCACAGGCCACAGCAGCTGAGAGTTCTGTTGGTCTTTGGCCTGGAAATATGGGACGGGCAGATGTGGTGTGTCGAGAGCAAGGCAGCGCTCTCACACCCACGGGCTGCTAGGTGCCCAGGGCAGCCTGGGGTGGTCAGGCCATCCAGGCAGAGGTGAAACCAGCTCTGGAAGTCACCTTTGTTACTGAGTAACCGAGTGCAGCCAGGCATGTGCTGGTGCTGGTGTGAGTCACTCTTCCTCGGTGCTGCCGTTGGCAGACAGCACTGGCCTGGCTCTACTGATCTGGCTAGAGTCTAAAGCCATGCATTCGACTGCTTAAAAAATTAATTTATTTGAAAGTCAGAGTTACGGGGGATGGAGGGGTTGGGAATAGAGAGACAGAGAGAGAGAGAGATAGAGAGATAGATAGGTATCATGAGAGAATGTTCCACCTATCAATTCACTCTCCAGGTTGCTGCAATGGCTTTTACTGGGCCAGGCCAGAGCCAGGAGCCAGGAGCTTCATCCGGGTCTCCCATACAAGTGGTGGGGACCAAGCACTTGGGCCATCTTCCACTGCTTTCTAAGGCCATTAGCAGGGAACCATATTGGAAGTGGAGCAGCCAGGACAGGAACCAGTGCCCATATAGGATGTGGGCGTCACAGGTGGCAGCCTTACCTGTTACGCCACAGTGCCGGCCCCTGTGTTCCAACTCTTAACGACTGACTGTATGTATACTAGTACCTTTCCTGACCTAGACTTTCTGACCTTGACCACACACTATGATCATCTTTAGAACTTAAACAAATTCTCAAACTGATGCTCAAATCTCCTCCCCAAGATTCTGATTTTACTGGTTTGGGGATGAGTCTGCTGTGTGACCATGGGCTTGCTCTACTTTTTTCTAGTTCTTTATCTTAAGAACCTCCCTAGGTAAGCATGAGTGAAAAAGGTTGCTACGTTCTAGTTACTCAAAGACTAGTCCTCTTTGGAGGGTGATCCCTCTTTGGTGGAAGTTGCGGCTAATGTCTGAAATGGGATTTGTTGTTGACAACTAGCATTGTTGAGGTAAATAAGTCACAATCACAATCTGTCATTCCTCTTGCTCCATTTACTCTTTATTCGTTTGAAATCAATTGTTGGTGACCTTGCGGTTGTAGTGAGGATTTTATGTGAACAATCTGTAAGGGAGGATGGGATTTCAACCCTCACTCGGATCTCGATGAACAAAACAGCACATTTCTATATATGTGGGGTCTCCAGAAGAGTCCATGGAGAATGTGTAGTATGAAAGAACTGTGCGTGGATTTCAAAAAATGGTTGCACTAAAATAAACTTACCTGTGAATCCTATTTTTCAAAGAACTTTTTGAAGTAATTGATGTCCTCTTATGTTTTGTTATGTGTAATTAACTTTTTCCCTTAAGGTAAGGGTTTGCTCACTTTTGTTCGACCCTTCTTTTTTTTATTGGACATTTTTCTTCCCCTTTGAAAGCTATAACACTAAATTTTGCTGGAGATATATTTACTCATATAGCGTGCAGCCTTAAACACTAATTTCTGCTAACATTTATGGATTATATCTCTGGCTATCATAATATGTATCTTTATAAAGCTTTTATAATTAGCCTGAATATTTGTCTTTATTTTTATTAAATTTTTAAAATACCAAACATGAACTTAGAATATTTATTAGAGGCATCTGAACTGTGTGTTGTTAATGCCTGTAAATTTTTTTTTAAGATATCCTGGCTCTCCTTCTGACTGATGTGCTGCTCTTTCTACAAGAAAAAGACCAGAAATACATCTTTGCAGCTGTTGTAAGTATTTGGCCAAGTGATGGTACTGTGATAGGTTTGGTCCTGCATTTTCATGAGAAATGTCTGAAATTCTTAGTGAAACCCTTATAATATGGTCACTAGCAAGATTATGCACTTTTTACGTTCCCATTGTTACTAGTGATTGCAGTGCTCAGGATTGAATTCACATTCAAACCTGCAAAATTTGCAGAGAGAGGTTGATGCATGGACTCAGTCCTGGCACCCTGAGTAGGAATCCCTGGAATATCAAAGAAGGTCATTTCAGGCTGGTGCCGTGGCTCAACAGGCTAATCCTCTGCCTAGTGGCAATGGCAAACCCTGGGTTCTAGTCCCGGTCAGGGCGCCGGATTCTGTCCCGGTTGCCCCTCTTCCAGGCCAGCTCTCTGCTATGGCCTGGGAGTGCAGAGGAGGATGGCCCAAGTGCTTGGGCTCTGCACCCCATGGGAGACCAGGAGAAGCACCTGGCTCCTGCCTTCGGATCAGCGTGGTGTGCCGGCCATGGCGCACCGGCCGCGGCGGCCATTGGAGGGTGAACCAACGGCAAAGGAAGACCTTTCTCTCTGTGTCTCTCTCTCTCTCTTTCTCACTGTCCACTCTGTCTGTCTGTCAAAAAAAAAAAAAAAAAGTAATTTCAAAGTGACTATGTAGGCTGGGGCTTGGACAAGCCTGGGTAGCTTGCTCGTCTGTCCCCTCATGACGAAGTTTTCTCCCACTACCCTGAGAAACACAGGCCTCATTCCTAGCTGGGACACTCTGCGTGCACTCTGGCACGTGACATTAGCTGCCTGAAAGTTGTGTGATGTAGGGATAGTGCTAGGAGTGAGCAGCTGGGGGACAGAGTGCCAGGGTGGAGGCCTGTCACCCAGTCCATGAGGGAGAAGCAAAACCACACCCACCGGCTGCCTGTGGAGACCAGTTCTTCAGATTCACCCCCGGAGCTGCTCATTATGCTGACATTCTCTGGCAGTGCCTTCAACTGCAGCTATTCCCCAAGTCCATATTTTGGTGTTTTTTTTTTCTTCTCTTTGGATCCCCGGGTGCTCAGAACCACTGTCCACTGCAGGATCACGCTCAGTCCATGTTGGTAGAAGAGCCGGGTCTTGGGTGCTAAAAAAGTGGCCTTTCTTCCTATTCCCGTCTGGAGGCCTTGCGTTAGATGTGGTTCTGCACGCACTTATTGCGTGCCAGCTTTGTGCAAGGTGATGTGGTGAGCACATGAACATGGCATTGACCCGCAGCTGCCTACTGGGGTTCTGCTGGTCCAGGGAATGCGGAGGCACTGCAGGGGGAAGCGGAGAAGTTCTGCGACAGAGCTGGCCGGGTGCGCCTGCGGCGTGCAGGGTCTCACCTGGAACACGGACCGTTCAGTTGTACAGCCCCCTGTGCTCCCTGGGGTTCTGTTCCCACCACCTTACTGAAGTGGTGATGGAGCTCTTCCGGTCCCCGTCCTCCTCAATCTTTCCATCACAGTTGAGAGACTGTTGCCTTCCCGTGTGCTCCGAGAGAAATCCCTCCTTCCTGGACCACGGCATTTTGGTTTTTTTCCCCCCTCACTGTCCTGGGTGTTCATTTAAAAAGCTGTCCTTTTGAACCACCAGTTGTCCAGGACAAACATTCTCCAGAATCCTCCCTGTCCATCCTCCTTCCTCCACACGCTCTCAGCTGGAGATCAAGCTGTTTTGAAAAGGTCGGAAGTACAATACAAGTTGACCTGGGATTGCCGCTTTCTGTAGCTCATGTGTTTCTCGCCGTCCTGACTCTGGCCAGGGTGCTCTCTCACCTGCACCTCGTCCTGTTTCACGCAGGATCAGAAGCCATCCGTTATTTCGCTGCAGAAGCTAATTGCTAGAGAAGTTGCCAATGAGGAGCGAGGCATGTTTCTGATCAGCGCGTCATCTGCTGGTCCCGAGATGTACGAGATCCACACCGCTTCCAAGGAGGAACGGAATAACTGGATGAGGCGGATCCAGCAGGCAGTGGAAAGGTAACCTCCGTTTCTGTCCGTAATCTTGGGAGTGGGCTCATTTGGATGGAGACAGTGTTCTAACCATGTCTCTCCTGCATGAAAATGTTGCTTCAGCTGGGATGGGCTGGCCCCTGCCCCTGCACCTGCCTGCGATAGCCCCCTTCCTGCCGCTTTGCCCTCCACGCCTCCCTGCACGTAACACCCTCGCCCGCCCTCTGCCTGTGTGTGTCCCGCCTGGCTTGGTGCAGCGCATGCCCCGCCTCCTTCGTGAAGACCTCCTCAGTTCCAGCGGTCTCTTCCTTACCTGAAATTCTTTAACATCTGCCCTCTGACGCATTTGTTCGATGCTTGTTATATACTGCCTTGTAGCTATTCTCTGTATATATGTGTGTTTAATTAGATTGGAAGCCCCTTGAGGGCAGGGACCTTGTCTTTCCTTTCTCTGTGTGCCCAGTACTGAGGAATCATTCAATAAATGTTTTTCCCTTGGTGGATGAAGTGTTCTATGGCAATTTATTCCTCACTGCTTCTGCAATGACAGTTTTGATAAAAAGGGTTCCAGGCTGGAGTGGTCAGTCTTATTGGTAATTTGATTAGTGAGATCCCGACATTCTCTAAAATCCTTCCATCTCTGCTGCACCCCCTCCAACTCAACCTGGCCCCCTACCTTCATCCCCTCAACCCTACTACCGCTATGAAGAGTAGAAGTGCCCAAATGTTACATAAAGCAAAAATTATTATTTCAGTCTACCTGTGTGGACCTTGGCACTCTGTCCCCCACTGCTCACTCCTAGTGCCATCCCAGCATCACACATGTTTGTGTCGGAGTATTTGAGTCATCTGTGTTGCTGACTTTTTGATAACCATGTTCGATTGTGCACGATCCTTTAATACACTCAAGGGAACAGAATTTCTGAGCCAAGGAGGGCTGATGAGTGTTCAGTGCTGAATTTTCTCCTTTGTGAGGAACTCTATTGCCAAGTCCCCATGTTCTCCCAATGGGCCTGCGTATACTTGGCTTTGGCTTCAGTGTTCTCTCTCGCCTGTTTTCTCTTCAAGTTGCCCAGAAGAAGAGGGAGGAAGGACAAGCGAATCCGACGAAGAGAGGCGGAGAGCTGAAGCCAGAGTGGCCAGAATTCAGCAGTGTCAGGGTTGGTATTTGTGCTTCTGGCTCCCGGCTGTGGTATGCTCCTTGGGTGTTGGGAAAGCCCAGGCAACGTGAATGGCAGGGAGGGCTAGTTGATTCAATCTGTGTGTGTTAGCCAAGTCCAAAAAAAAAAAAAAAAATACTGGCACTAGAAATGCTCAAATGACACCCATACACACACACACACACACACACACACACACTTCTGACATGGTGTGGGCACTGTCCTGCAGGTGATCGTTGGGCTTCCTGCCTGATGGATTAATTTAGGTCCCAGCACTGTCATGTCACAGCCATGTGACTTTGTGGACAAGGCCCTTGATTTGCAAATGCGTGACAGAGGGAATTAGGTGGGCTTGGTGCTTCTCCACTCTGCCTTGCCAGGGGTCTTATCTGGAGAGACCTCAGAAATGCTGATTCCTGGGCCCCAGCCCAACCAGTTGACTCAGCATGTGTAGGCGGCCAGCATGGATTGGGTGGTTCCAGTGCTCCCCGAGAGGAATAGGCATGGTGCCTTCCATGCCAGGGAAGGGCCCTTTGAGCTGTAAGACTTCTGTAGCATGTTGAAATCCAAGGAAAATGACGTACCCAGTGATGGTCAAAGGAATTGGCTGTTTAGAAAAAATGTGCTTGGTTTTGACCAAGAATCGCTGAGGCCCAAGTGGCTTCTGCCCTTGCATTGTTTTCCTTGTGGGTATTTACTGACCACGGACAGGCCTCTGCAATTTTCATTCCTGCACTTACTGTGTAGTCTTAATAGAAAACAGCACGAATAAACAAAGAGTGGCTTTTGCGAGTTTTCCTGGAGCAGGGGAATGGGAGAGGCAATGAACACTGCGCGAATTCCTTATTTACAGAAAAGACAGAGGAGGCTGAGCGAGCGGCGAGTCTCCTGCTGCCGGCTGCGGGCGCCAAGTGGAAGAGGCGGGACTGGAACTTGGCTCTAGCCCAGCCACTAACTCGTGCTTTTCCTTTTAAATCGGGCCGTGCCATCTATGCAGCACCATCTTTGTCGTGTGGCTCGGATTTAACATTAGTTGCTATGTTTGTGTGAATGATAACCTTCTGTGGTGAATATCATTTCACAGAAATACTCAGCAGCCAAGACCAGCAGATTTGCACGTATTTGGAGGAGAAGCTGCACATCTACGCCGAACTTGGAGAATTGAGTGGATTGGAGGATGTGCACCTGGAACCCCACCTCCTCATTAAACCCGACCCGGGAGAGCCTCCGCAGGCAGCGTCCTTACTGGCAGCAGCACTGAAAGAAGGTAAGCCGCTTTGACAAGGACTTGGTCTGGCGAATTCAGGAAGTGTTAGGTGAACACCTGCTACGCGACATGTGCTGTGGTCTTGGTGCAGATCTGTCAGGTGGTATCAGGTACATAAAACACAAAGCAACAGGGCAAGGGGGAGGGGAGCGATGGAGTTCAGGTGGTTCTGTCTTAGGGTGACCAGAGAAGGCCTCTCTGATACACTGACACATAAGTAGAAGTGAAGGAAACGAGAGAGCCACGAGATATCTGGAGTGATCCAGCACTGGGAAGAGCAGGTGCAAAAGCCCTGAGGCAGGTGAGTGCCACGCTTTTTTGAGGAACAGCAAGGAGGGCAATGCAGGTGCAATGAAGTGAAGGCTGGGGGTAGGAGACACAAGTTAATTAGGTCCCAGATTACATGCATTAAGGTAAAGAGTTGGAATTTCAATGAGAGGGTGAGATGGGTCACATTATAGTTTTCAGTGGAAGGGTGGCTTGATGTATGTTTTAAAAGGAACTCCCTGAGGGCCCCATGGGTAGTAGACTGACAAAGTGCAGCTAAGGAAGCCCAGGTTATAACAATGGGTGGTGGTAGCCAAGGTAAGCTCACTGGGGGTGAGAAAGTCCAGCAGGTGAAAAGCCAGGCTCGTGGGAGGGCTGAGTTCATAGAATTTCACGGACTGAGCAGTTTGGAAGGAGGGGGAGAATTGTGCCTAAGGAACGCCAGCAGGGGGCGGTGGCTGGGACGGGGCGTGGTCTACAGATGCATGGTCACAAGGAGGGTGGTGAGTGGTCCCCTCTGGCAGGAACTTCAGAGGAGGAAGCTGAAGGGATATGTGGGGGCGTGGTCGGCAGGTGCTGATGGCAGAGGGTTTAGGCTCTCCTGTAGCCTCAGGACTTCAGCTCCGGGGTGGGGGTGGGGGATTTAGAAATCTTGGGACTGTTCATCTCTATTTCACTGTCGAGGAAGGTGGGGGCCGGAGAGGGGCAGTGGGCTGTCGGAAGCGGCCCCACAGGTGCATCACCCAGCCGTTCAGCCAGCATCCACTGAGCATCCTTCCGTGAAGTTTCTGGTGGGGAAAGGCAGTGCACAGAGATAGGACAGGGGCCTGGGATGGGCAAGATGTCTCCCACCAGGTCGTTTTTTTGCCATAAGAATTGGGAGATGAGAAGAAGCCAGCTGTCCCAAGATCCGGGGCTGGGAGCGTTGCTGGGCACAGAGAAAGTGAATACAAGTCCCCGAGGCTGAGTGACCGTGGCTCGTCCAAGGAAAGGAAGAAGGCCAGGGTGGTGGCAGTCGGGACGCTGCCCTGAGCAGAGGTGGCGTGGGTGGACCCGGCCTCAGAGCTCTGTGGGCCGTGGTTAAAACGGCATCATTCTCCACGAGGTGAAAAGGCATTGGGAAGCTTCAGCGTGGGTGTGGCACAGCTTCTTTGTATCTTAGAAAGAACCTGGGCTGCTGAACGGAGAAGAGATTGGAAGGGGTTGCGTTTGCCTGGAGAACTGGAGGAAGCAATTGCTGACTCCGAGAAGCGAGATGTTGGTGCACTGGTCCAGATGAGGGCTGTGGGCAGTGGAGGTGGAGGAAGTGGACAGGTTCAAGGTGTGTTGTAGCAGTGAAGCCTAAAGGGCTTCCCGGTGGGCTGACGAGAGCCAGGGACGTCCTTGCTATCCTTGATGAATCCTTTATTGAATGAGTTCCCAGCTCTCAATTAGCCAATGGCATTAACATCCTCCCTCACCAAGCTGGTTTGTGAGCGCCCTCACCTGTGACTCCTGTGCCAGGAGCACAGGTGGACCCAGCTGCTCAGGGAGCCTGGGCCATGGGCAGGTCGGAGAATCCCCCACTGGGTCCTTGTTCCTCAGCACCAGGGCTGCCCTGAGCGCCCGAGCAGGAATTCTCATGAAGGTGAGAGCTCCCTCTCCTGGGGTTGGACAGAGGCAGTAATGCGCCTGGCAGGGCTCCCTGGGGCTGCCCGGTGGGGCTGCTGCTCTTCCCTCTCCTCCTCCTGCTCCCTTGGCTTCTCCCCGATGGACTTTTTCCCAGGCCCGGTTTCTCACATGGCTCTCCTGCTCCTCCCTGCTACAGGCGCCTTTTAGCACTGTCATAGCTGGGGCGTAGAACTTGGAGCTGACCGCAGGCTACTGAGCGTGGTCAGGTGCATGTGTCTCTTTCCACGTGCAAATCCGTTGTCGTCCAGATGCCCAGCGGCTCCTAGAGCAGAGGAGATGCCCAAATTGAATGCCGAGTAGTTTACGAATTGAATCACTGGACAGAGTGTCTAGAAGTGTTTGTCAGGCTGTCGGAATTATACACTTCCAGGTGGTAGCTGAAATGCCGTGATTGTAAACCAAATCTTCTGCTGTTTGGTGCGGTGTTTCCTAAGCTGACCTAAGCCTGGCATCCTCAGAGTAACCTCTGGTACTCATTGAAAGTACGAATCCCATCTTCTTCTCCAGAAAATCTGACCCAGCACATCTAGGGTTAAGATTGAATCTTGATGTTTAAAGCAAGTGTGGAGAGACATATTGTGTGGAAGAACTGCTCGCTTGGACAGGTTTTAAAATTCTCATCTGGGCCGGCGCCACGGCTCACTAGGCTAATCCTCCACCTAGCGGCGCCGGCACACAGGGTTCTAGTCCCGGTCGGGGCACCGGATTCTGTCCCCGTTGCTCCTCTTCCAGGCCAGCTCTCTGCTGTGGCTTGGGAAGGTAGTGGAGGATGGCCCAAGTCCTTGGGCCCTGCATCCCATGGGAGACCAGGATAAGCACCTGGCTCCTGGCTTCGGATCAGCGCAGTGCGCCGGCCGCAGCGTGCCAGCCGTGGTGGCCATTGGAGGGTGAACCAAGGGCAAAGGAAGACCTTTCTCTCTGTCTCTCTCACTGTCCACTCTGCCTGTCAAAAAAAAAAAATTCTCATCTGATTATTGTGTTTAAATGAACTGAACTGCAGAACGTCTTCCAGCATGCTGCATTGGAGATGTTTTTATGCAGTGGGTTTAGACTTTTTTTAATCAAGCTGGTGCTGTGTGGTATGCGGATGCTGAAAGCGTTGGTCTGGTTTGCAGGTCAGCACACTTCTGCAAAGGGCTGGTGGTAAATTCTCTGAGTGTGTGTCGGGGAACTTTGAAGGCAGGCTGTACTTGTGTGTGTGCCCTAACAATCCTTTACAAGTGTAAAGACACAGTGTAGCTCCTGGGCCTATGTAGAGGCAGGCACGGCCCAGGTGTAGCTTGCCAACCTTTGGTCTAGATCATCTGTCTGTTGTTTACGTCTGTGTTTGTCTTTCCACCCAGCTGAGAGCCTGCAGGTTGCGGTGAAAGCGTCGCAGGTGGGAGAGGCCAGTCAGCGCTCCGAGGACAGCTGTGCAGACTCTGCCTGGACAGACGCACCTGGCTCCCAGGAGCTGCCGGGGTCACCTGCTGCCTGTAAGTGGCAGCACAGGCCTGGGGTTGAGCCAAGCACAAGGCCTGCAGCTGAGAGAGGTCCCGAAAATAAAGCCACGGCTCTGGCCCTGGCCGGGGGCCGGGGGCTAGGGGGTGGGGTCTTGGTGTATTTTTTCAAATCAGAAAACGATCAGAGCCTCGCCATGCTGGCCACAAATCCACACCCTGCAGGCACCGTCCTGACGCTGCGGCTGCAGGCACGGAGCGTGCGGAGTGGCTGTGGTGTGGTCAGCCACGCGCGGTCCTTCCTCAGACCCCTGCCTCACTTCTGATGTGACGGAAGGAATGCAGTTGTGAGAGGACTTTTACACTTGTTTGATTTTTTTAATAAAAGGGTCTTTGCATTAGTGCACAAAACTCTTCAATTTCATCTCATGTTCATTAACCAAGAAAGCATGACTCAGGAAGCTGGAAACACATGGATGCGCGCTCTCTCTCTCTCTCTCTCTCACACACACACACACACACAAGTGCCAAAGGATTGTTAACCTGCATCATCATACTTTTAATTCAGGTCAGAATGCATTTATTAAAACACCATTTCAACATAAAAACAGAATCTAGAGAATTAGCTGCTCTGAACCTGATCATACTACTACATGCATATTTAGCTAAATGCTTAATTCCATAAAGTTTCCGAGGTACGAGCATAGAATTCATGCTTCTTCATGGGTGGATGGTAACCTTACTCCCACAAGGTCTTATATGCACGAGAGAAAATATCTTTCATAGCCAGAGATTAGAGGATTGAGTTTTCTTAGGACTAACACAGAATAACTTGGTTAATTAAGATAAATGGAAACAGCATAGCTTTTTAATTGTAAGGTTTCTTTTTTTTTTTTATTTACCAGCACCAATGATTATTTTCCCTGTTCAAGTTGGGCTTTATCTACTCCTGAGTTTCTATTTCCAGAATGCGCACATATGTTTTTCATTGTGACCCAGGGGAGGTGTACTGCCCTGGGTGACTTCCTTTTAAGAGAGGAGCCTCATTATGCCACAGAGAAAAGGCCGTCTAAAAATACCGCCTGGGCTCTGCCACGCTCGGCCTCACCCCAGGGGACAGCTGGGGAGGCCTGTCTGCCCTGCAGCTGCTCCGAGCGCGTGGCGGCCCAGCCGTCCTTCCTGCAGGGCCATGGCAGTTCTCCCCTGTGTAGTCATATCTCCCCAGGACTTGGGAGAGTTGCAAAAGGACCCCGCGGCACTGCTGGAGCCGCTGAGAGGCTCTGTACCGAGCGGTCCGGCTTTGGGTAGAGGCACTGGGCAGGGGAGTGGGGTCTCGTAACCTCGTGACCCGCAGGCCTGTTCAATGTGGGCTGAGTTAGAGCCGGGGCCCCCAGAGCTGGATTGTGGAGTTAGTTGCTGAGGGCGCTGCCCGCACATCTGTGACTGCAGGCTTGGTTCTGAGTCAGGCCCTGGTCTGCTGAGGTCATAACCCCAGTGGAGCCTTCTGTTTGTGGTCCCCGAGACGCTCGAGCAGGTGGATGAGCGTTTGCTGCCTCCTGGGAAGAGCTGGACTACCTGGAGCCTCTCGTGCCTGCCTGAACCTGCTAGCAGGGCAGGGACAGAGGACCCGTCCACGGGCCATCCCCTGCCTCCACTTGACCTGCCCGGCCCTGGATGGGGAGGAGGACATGGGGAGGGCCTTTGGCTTCTCTCTCAGAGTTGGGAAGAGTAGCAGTGGCGAAACCACTTCTGGGGAGGTGTGGCCACGCAGGGGGTACAAACGGACCGAGGTATCCGACTGATGCCCTTTGAAGTGGCCCCTGGCGTCCTAGAGAGCTGCCATCAGCCACCTCCAGCCCTCTTGGAGGGTGCCTCCCGCCCTGCACTCCTCCATCTGAGCCTCCTTTCTCATCCGTTGCTCTCAGACGGGCCACCGAGGCGCACTGCCAAGAGAGCATGCTTCAGCTCTACCCACCCTCCCCACGAGGCTCTTCCCCATCACTGAACAGGAGCCCTGTGGTGCACTCTGTATGCCCCCAACAGCGCGTGGCTCCCTCAGTGCGAGCAAGACGTGGAACGGACCCGGCTGTGTGGGGTGGGTCTCTGGGCTGACAGCATGTGAGCCCCACGTGGGTGGGGACACCTCCGAGGAGAGGACGCCACGGGCATGATTCCAGGCGGCATTGCTTTGTCAGCTGTGTGGGGGACCCAGTGGCTGGCTGCTGACTCATGTCATCTTTTTTATTTCTGTCTCAATGCTGTGCTTGCAGCGCTTGGCCCAGAGGGGGCAGAAGGAAGAGGCTGTTGGGATGAGGACGGCGGGACCCAGGGTGTGGGAACTGGCCAGGAGATCCCCGATGCGGTGGAGAAGGTATTGTCAACCACTTTGTTAGCACCCAGCACCCATCACGTCGTGTCGTGAACCAGCCTCAGGTGCCGCGAGTGCAGTGAAAGTGCTTTTCTGCATTTGTGCCCCGTGAATCGCAGCGTTCGTCTCTAGACTTTCTAACTTATCTCTCCTTCCAATGTGCTTGTTCTTCCTGTGTCATGTAGGTGTAAACACACAACCGAGAAGTCATTACCCCGGATGGGAAGCCCGCCTGTGTGTGCTGTCTGCGCTGTCTGACTTCTGCTCTTCCCTTTTTTACTGCACACCCTTGCTTGTCGCTCACTACGTTGGGAGACTTTCACTGAGCACCGGGCCTGGGCATTCGGGGCCCCTGGGCAACCGGACGGCGCTAATGTAGCGGAAGTCAATTTCCACTTTGGGATGTTCTTGCTTCTTCCACCTTCCTTGAACTTCTTCTCCTGTCAAACTGTTTTCCTGTTACCACCAGCATTTCACCTACTTTTTGTAGATTTTTTTAATCTAATCTGACCAGTTTTTGCTTGGGGCAGAATAGTTCCAATTGCATCTCGGCTTTTGACTTACTGTATATGAAGGATCTTCAAATAATTGATGGAAAATGCACACTATGAGAAAAACTGTTTGTGTGGATTTCACATTTTTTTTTTCCTTTTGCATCCAAACTGTTTAGTTCCATTTTCCATAAACTTTCTGAAGTATCCCTGGTACAAAAGCTATAACTCTGTCTTTACAAATTAAATGCATAAAATGTTCTGTTAACTTCCAGTGCAACTGAGATGTCAGAAATAGCAAAAGAGTCCAAACTTGAAGCTGGGAGGCAGCCAGTCGGCCGCTTGGTGTTGTCTGCAGCTCCGGAGTTGAGCTTTATCTGAAATGGAATTAGGTGCATTCCTGAGCACCAGCCTGGGCCATTGTGGGAAATGGCATATGGCAGGCCTTCTCTTATCTGTGTCACATTTGATATATTCTGTATTTTTCATATAAATTGCATATGACTGAAAAACCAAGTCCAAGGATGTAAAAAAATCCACTGAGAAGACAACTGTAACTTAGAGTTCTCTGCAGGCCGAAATGAATATGAGAATGCAGTGTTTTGCACCCCTTTTTCTGACTCAGCCTCCTGGCTTATTTCTTATTAAAATGCTCCCACTTTTCATCCTTCTAGGGCAGTCTTGCTTTTTGGTGTGACGTTCGTAGCTTGCAGCTGCTTTTATGTTGTTAGAAAGTAAGCATGAAGGAGAAAGAGTTGTCAGGCATAGCTGAATCCGCAGAGTGTCAATGCCTCCCGCCCCTAAGGCCTCCCTTTTGTGCAGGTGAGCATCAGGGAAATTTTGCCTTGAACACATTTTGATAAATTAAACTGATACTTAGATAGGAACCACTTGAAATAAAACCTTAAAAGGTATACAGTAGGTATTTTATTATTAATTTCTGTACCAAGGTAGGGTTAAAACAAGTTTCTAAAATAATCTTGAAAGAATATTGACTCAGTTACCCGACGAGGAGAAACTCTGTGCATCACCTACACAGTTGTGCACTTGCACCACAAGGTGGCAGCCCAACTCCGTTAAAAAGGTGATGTGATATTCTTGAGTATAAGTAACTACATGTAGCATGATTTTATTCATTGTTATATTTCCAGGTTTTATAGAGCTTAAAACTCTGTCACCTATGACCCTGGTATGAAAAAAATTATAGAATGTGGATGGGCAAGGCCAAAATCAGAAAGGGAACTGGAACTGCCCACTCAGACAGGTCCGGGCTTCTGGGTCCCAGTTGTCTTCTGTAAGGGAGGGCCTGGGACTGACGCCTCTTCATTTTCTCTCCAGCCTTTCACTTTCTCCTTGGGGGACTGCTTAGCAATGCCATGTCTGATTAGCGGTGTGAGGAAAGAGACCTACTAGGCTCCTCATGGCATCATCGGCCTGAACGCATCCCATTCAGCCACAAATTCAAAGTTACCTGAGAATGTTCCCATGGCCGACTGTTTTTTAACAGCTTAAACTTAGGTTTGCTGGGACAAAAGCAAGTCACTGACTTAGACTGTAGGTTCTTGGAGGGCGAAGGAATCTGATGACCACCTATAGCAGACAGTGTGGAGTTTAGTGGGTGATCATTGCTTATTTATTGAATAGAGGACAATCAGATTCAACTCATAGGCATTCATTTTTGGGTGCCAGTCGATGCCAGGCATCACCCTTGGGTTTGCGAATGCACCAGAAGCCCAGAGAGTCCTGTGTGTCACTAGGATAGTGAGAGCAGATAGAAAATGAACAAGCAGATGTCCAGTCCCGTCCCGGAGACAGGAAACCCCACTCTTGACACACACCCTTCATGTGTGCTGTGGAAGAAACAAGGACCCTGTCCCCAAGGAGCAGGTGGGCTCTTGTGTTCTTGTTCATCGCTTCTGCTGACAGCACATGTGCTGTGGGAGTCACTGGGCCCATAAGCCCTGACCGACAGGGGTAGGACCTGGCCGAGGCCAGCCCAGTGCCCCCTAGAAGCTGTCTTTGCTCCCAGTTGATCCCCAGCCACTGGCTCTGTTCGCATCATGGAGCTCCAGCACCAGGCACGATGCTCTCAAGTGTCCCGATCTGGCCTCTTGGATGCAAAAGGTCAGCCTGGCCGAGGAGACTTCAACCTGGCCACAGAGTGGTCACTCTAGAGTGTGGCTTGCACAGGTGGACATTGCCACCTAGGGTGTGCAGGGCCTCCCGCTGTCCTCCCTGGTTGTCTGGAGGGATGCTTGGGTGAGAGTGGCCACGCAGCTCAAACACCGAGTATGCAGGGAGGGGCTCTCGTTGCCAAGTGCTGGCTTCATTCCCTAGGATTCCATTCGGGCGAGGAGACAGCGTGGGTGCAGACAGGGAGTCGAGTTGAGAGAGGCTGGAGTGACTGACTAAGGTCAGACGTGTCCCCGCGTGACAGGGTGGCTCTCCCGAAGCAGAGCGCGCGCTCATTTTCTTGTGTGTTTATGTGTTTTAGGTGGAATGCAGAAGTTTTCCAGGTTCTTCGCAGTCAGAGGTGAGCTCCTACATACGTTCAGTGATCAGCACCCTCTCTCAATTTGTGGACAATGAAAGCTTTCTCGGGAATTTGACACTCGCGGCCTTGTTTTTCAGATTCTGCAAGCCATACAGAATTTAACGCGTCTCCTGTATAGCCTTCAGGTAACTGGCTCTCTGACCTTGTAAATGTTTCTCTTCACACACCTCGCTTTAATGACTGCCAGACTGCAGGAGCGGGACCATTCCAGAGGTAGGGAACGATCTGACGTGAGTGCCAGCTGCCTACATGGACCCCAGCACGATGGGTTGAACGTGCCTGCTTTTGTGATCACGATGCAACACCCTGCTACATTTTATACCGTTCTTCTCTGAAACCATAAAACAGTTCATATCTTTAAAAAATACTGATGCTTATGCCTTGGCTTGGCTTCACGTTTTCTGGTGAAAACTTTGGTTCACACCTAAGCTTTTTCACTTCCACATGCGGCCTTAGGCCTTTAGAGTGGTTAACTGTTTCCTGTGCTCCTTCGTACTTTTGCTTATTCAGCCACTCAACAGTCAGGGAGTTCCCTCGCTCTGCTGGCCACAGTGCTGAGAGCTGAACACATGGCGGCGAATGGAACCAAAGTTGCTTACGAGGGAACTTCCCAGCATTCTTTGGAAAATGGAATTAAAAAGATACATTTATTTTGGTGTAGAACAATTTTGAAATCCATACATACTTTTTTCATAATTGCACTTTCCATAAGCTTCTTTTTTTTTTTAAATAGATTTATTTATTTGAAAGGCAGAGTTACAAGACAGAGAGAGAAAGAAAGGTCTTCCATTTGCTGGTTCACTCTCCAAATGTCCACAATGGCCGGAGCTGAGCCAATCCATAGCCAGGAGCCAGGAGCTTCTTCCGGGTCTCCCACATGGGCACAGGGGCCCAAGCTCTTGGGCTATTCTCTTCTGCCTTCCCAGGTACATTAGCAGGGAGGTGGATCAGAAGTGGAACAGCTGGGGCTCGGAACTAGTGCCCATGTGGGATGCCAGCGTTGGAGGCAGCAGCCTTACCTGCTCATCACAGCTCCAGACCCAGAAGGAATTCTTACAACCGTGTAGGTGTGCATCCCTGCAGATTTTAGTCAGGTTGTAAACACTCACCAGCATCGCTTTCTATCTCATCACCTGGTGTTCTACACCACAGTTCTCAGTGAGTGAATCAGACTGCATTTTGTGGAATTTATTTTCCCAATCCCTTAGGCTTTTGCTTTCACATTATTCCTAGTACTGGCGTGAGCCTCTTGCTTACTGTTTTCACTACAACTTCTGCAGATGTGTTAAATAATGCTGATGAGAATAAGCTCCTTGTCTCATTCATGGTTTAGGGGAAGGCCTTTAGTCTCATACATTCGATATGCTGGTCTGGGGTAGGTGTTCATAGAGATCAAATTATCATGTAAAGCAAATATTCTTTCTTTTAACTGTCAACTGAGAAGGGATATAGTGGGGATAGTGCATTAGGTCTTGGGGGTTGAAGACCTAGGGCATCTGGCTTGTTCATCTGATGAAAACACTCACAAGGTTGCATTTTTCCTGTTGTGCCCTGAGCGCAGGCCTGTGTGGACTAGGGTTCAGAAAACCTCAGTGACCTCAATGATCTAGTTTTCACATCACATGAGGTTGGAGTAGCATGGGAAATATCGAGGTCTACAGAGGATTCTCTTCACCAAAGCTTTTGAACTGGTCTAAGCGTATGGGCTCTGAGAGGGTTCTGTTCGCTACGCAGTCACTTCTGTATTCTCAAATTGAACCTCTTACGTATGATTGGGGTTCTTACAGAAACAAGAATTTTTGAATCAGAAGGAAATGAGGTTTGACCTCTACATTCAGAGGGTAGAGTCACAGGTGCAGTATTGACAAGGAAGGAGAGAAAGAACAGAGAGAAAGCCAGCAAAGCAAAGTGAAGAGCAGGTGAACTGAGAATTTTCCTCAATTTGGAAAACAAGTATGGGTCTCTGTCCTCAATATGAATGCAAACTTCAGACTCCAGGAAGGAGAAGGCTCTTACCCTAAATGTGAAGTGGATATGAAGAATGCTTCATGCTAGCACTAACTGCTCTCATTGCAACCCTTACATGCAAGTTAGCATTGTGTATGGTAGTTTTGACATTTAAAATCATGGGTTTCTGTTTGTTTTACCACGCGGATGCCCTGAGGATCAGGGAGAATTAAGTGGTGCTGTACAGTCTACGGTTTTCTCTGCCAGGTCAGCAGCTGTGAGTGGGTCCTGATTAAGTGCTAATTGTTTCGTATTTAAAGAGCATAGTAGATCATGCCTGTTCTCTGTGATAATAATTGTTCTCTGTTAACAACTCCTGAAGGCCATTAATCAAAGATCCCAACAAGTCTGAAATGTTAAAAATCAATTTTCAAATTTCAAAACAGGAATTTTATTTCAAAAGCCATAATAAAAACATGTTTGAGTAAGAAAAGTACAAAGTACAAATTTCAAATAATCTTAGTTCTTTACCTTTTGAAAGCATAGGAAACTGCTGAGCTAACAAAGGACTAGTGGTCAGTCCCCATCTCCCAAACATCCGTCACACGGACAGCTCTGGAATTTCTTAGGAAGCAGAAATGTGAATTTATCCCTCAGAGAGTCAGGCTTTCTCATACGAGTCAAAGCATGCACGCATGCCCAGGCCGTGTCTGTGGTCAGTTCGTCCATTCTGTACTTCTTTGCACTTGCCATGGGAACTTTTAAAATTAAAAGCTTCAAGGGCATTCACAGTGATTTTCTTTTTCTCTCTTTTTTTTTTTTTCTTTTGGTTTTGTAGGCGCCTTCCAAATCTTTGTAATTATTTCCTGTGATGCTGCCAAACTTTTCATAGGCAGATACCGTAACCCAAAATATTTTTTAAATCTGGTTGGTAAGGCCCCTGGGGTTTATAATATCTATTTTTCTCTTAATCTCTTCAGCCTTCTGTTAGCAATCTATTAGCAAATGAATTTCAGCTTCGTTTTTGTGTGTGACCTTTCTGTTGTCATGTATGGAACATAGAGACTAGCTTTGGCCACTTACATTTCTCCTCTAAATGGTATTAGCTGTTATTCTTTGGCATTGTGTTATGAAAGACTACAGAAGTCTCCAGACAGTTGACTTTCATTTTTTATGTGCTCATGAAAGTAATTTCTGGTTTGGGATGCAAATGCAGGGTACTAGTAGGTTTCTATAGATCCCTAAATTCTTGTGAATTACTAACTGGGGAGACCTCAGGAGGCGAACGACATGCAGAGCAGAGTCTTAGGCGTTAATGCACCGCGTCCTCCTCCAGAAGACATAATGTAGACATTAACCAGCAGCCGCAACAAACCACATTTCCAGGAGCGGAGATGAGTGCAGCCAGCCCTCCATGGTCACTAGCTCTGCATCTGTGGATTCCACTAACTCCACATCCAAAATATTTGAAAAAAAAAAAAATTCCAGAAAGTTCTACAAAGCAGCACTTGAATTGGCTATGCTGAATTCATGTGAATGAAATGATGTGGGTATTATATTAGGTAGTAAAAGTAACCTAGAGATGATTTAAAGTATGCAGGAGGATTGCATAGGTTAAATGCAAATACTACACTATTTTTTAAAGGTTTATTTGTTATCTGAAAGGCTGATTAGAGAGAGAGAGAGAGATCCATCTACTATCTGCTGGTTTATACCCCAAATGGCTGCAGCTGAGCCAGGCCAAAGCCAGGACTCCATCCATGTCTCCCAGGGACCCAAGTACTTAGACCACTTTTCACTGCTCTCCCAGGGCAATTGCAGGGAGCTGAATGGAAGTGGAACAGCTGGGACTTGAACTGGCACCCCTATGGAATGCCGGCACTGCAGGCGGCGGCTTTACCTGCTATGCCGCAGTGCCGGCCCCACCACACCATTTTATAAAGGAGATTTGAGCATTTGCAGATTCTGGTGTGGGTGGGAGTCATGGGCCCATTCTTCTGCAGATACTGCTGAGCAATTTTGTGGCTTTGAGTTACTTCTTTTTTTTTTTTAATTATTTTTTATAATTCCCAGGCCCTACTACGTGTAGTTACCTCTCCTCCCTTCTCTCCCAGGCTGCCTTGACCATTCAGGACAGCCACATCGAGATCCACAAGCTGGTCCTGCAGCAGCAGGAGAGCCTGGCCCAGGGCCTCTCGTTCCGAGGCAGCCCCTTTCCGGACCAGGAGAAGGCCCGCAGCCTGGAGAAGCCGCGCGAGGCGCTGGACGTCCACAAGCTCCAGCACCAGTTCCAGCAGGAGCAGCGGCGCTGGCACCGCAGGTGCGACCAGCAGCAGCGGGAGCAGGAGGCCAAGGAGAGCCTGCTGCAGGCACGCGAGCGGGAGTGCCAGTCCCAGGAGGAGCTGCTGCTGCGGAACCGGGGCGAGCTGGACCACCAGCTGCAGGAGTACCAGCAGAACCTGGAGCGGCTGCGTGAGGGCCAGCGCATGGTGGAGCGGGAGCGGGAACAGGTGCGCGCCCAGCAGGGCCTGCTGTGCCGCTGGAAACACGGCCGCCAGAGGAGCCTGCCCGTCGCCTTTCCTGCTGGGGACAAGGAGGTATGGAGCTCCTGGAGGGTTTCAGCAGTTTCCGGTGGACACATTCAGTCCTGGTTGCTCCGTGTCTTTGGGGGTTTGAGCTCTTGTAAGAGCTCCTAAGAGTTTCTTGGTTCGTAGGGAGCGAAAGCTGAGAAATTTCAGAGGCACTGCATCTGTATCTTGGCTTTTGCTTTTTAAGATTTATTTATTTACTTGAAAGGTAGAGTTACAGAGAGAGGGAGAGAGAGAGAGAAAGAGAGAGGGAGGGAGAGCGCTTCTATCTGCTCGTTCACCTCTCAAATGGCCGCAACAGCCAGTCTGATGTCAGGAGCTCCATCCGGGTCTCCCACTTGGGTGGTAGGTGCCCAAGCACTTGGGCCATCTGCTGCTTTCCCAGGTGCTTTAGCAGGAAGCTGCATTGGAAATTGAGCAGCTGGGACTCAAACTGGTGCCCGTGTGGGATGCCAGCATTGTAGGCAGTGGCTTTACCTGCTACACCAATATGCTGGTCCCATTTCTTGGCTTTAAAAATGGAAATTTTAAAAGTTTGGGTCCTATCAAATCATTGTGCTCTGCGATGCCCTTCCCCAAGGGAGGAACACAGAATTGAGAGGCCCTGTAAGGCGAGGGCGAGCTGTCCTGGAGGCATGCTTGCTACAGAACAGCTGTTTGAAGGACCCTCTTTATATGATCTATTTTATGAGAGGATGAGAATATTCTACCATATTCTATGATAGATGTACCTTTTATTGGACCAGTGAGCTAATAAGGTATATTTCAGGTGGTATCTTTGGCAAGTGTGACACTATTCCATTATGCCAACTTTATTCCATCTTTGTAAATCTGATTTGGTTCATTCAAAATCCATTTCACTAGTAATAAATGAGTTGTGTGAATTCATGATGGAGTAGGATGAACCTTTCAGGAGAGTCTGTGTTCCCATTGCATCCTCTCTCACGGCATCTGACAATTCTGTTCATCAGAGGAACTTATTTTTTCCATGCAAGTTTACTTTTTATCTGAAGTGTGCAAAGTTTTAAAAGTTGATAAGCTTATATGAAAGAATTAGGTTGCATCAAAAACTAAATAGAAAAAACTTTTCTATTTAGCAGACATGGAAGTGGTGCTTTCTCTGATTAAAATGAAGTCAAAGCACTTTAATGGCATAGAACACTGTTGTTTTTTGTTGTTTGTTTCGTAAGACTTGCTGTGCATCGGGAATTGAAGTTTTGGGACTAGCTCGTTAAAAGGGGGTGGGAGGTCTGAGCAACACTCGTAACTTCCCTCTCACTGAAGTCTTGATTGCCAGGTTCTATCAGGAGTAAGGACTTTCTGGAACTCGTGTAAGTGGCCAGAGGAATGATTGTACTTTTCCTGTGTTCCTTTACCCAGGCAATGGAACTTAACAGATCTGAGAGTTTATGCCATGAGGGCTCGTTCTTCATCAATGACGCATTAGTGCAAATGTCCCTGAACACTTTCAACAAAGGAGCCCATCAGGATGGCACGCACCCCCCAAGTCTGTCACATGCTGATTTGGTCAGGACTTGTGAAAACCAAGTGGACCGTAGGACAGATGATCCTCCGCCTGTGGATGTCAACCATGAACTGCGGACAGTCCCCGGGGCCTGTCATCAGGAGCCTCCTCTCCAGGAAGGCAGCCAGGAGTCTTGTAACAATGGTAATTAACGCTTTACACGTCGTCCGTGTCCTTTCCACCAGCAGTTGTTTCTCTGCATGGTTGGCTGTTCTGTAGAGCTCGTCAAAGTGAGCCCTGGGCTGGGGTAGATTGGCGCTGCTGACCTGGAGTTGGTAGCGTAAACTGTTCTTTGGGGAAATCTCCAGTCTGCCTTCGCTGGCCAGTTTCTCAGCAAGCGAAGGGCGTAGGGATACCACCAGAATGTAAGAACCGGACAGGTTTTCCGGTCTGTGGATTGAATGATAGAGTCCCCTTAGAAGTGGAGCATCTTGGTATTCTTTCCCGCCGTAGACCCTGCTCCATCCTGACACACACATCCTCCCACTCTCCAAAGTAAAAGATATGGACAGCATTTGTGGTAAGGTTTTACTGTCTATCCAGGCAATTTCCTGTCCCCTCAGTGAAATCTTCTGTACTGCTATTAAACACCCGGAATGAAACTGTTAACATCATTTGTCATTGTAAAAAAAGGTGTTGTCTCTTCGTAAGTACCTCGTAATAACACAATTTGCTAATCCCATTAAAGCATCTGCCAAATATAAAGGGAAGGCAGCTCGAGTTACCAACTCCACACGGATCCAAATGATTGAGATCTATGTCTATTATGAATCGTTTTCTGTGGGATATGAGGTAGGGAATGAGAAGAACTTGAAACCCTTCTACCGAGAAACAGATGGTATGCGATCGAATAAACAAATGGCTGGCCACATGGACGCAGAATAAATCACTGACAGCGAAATGTTGCAGGAACATAAAACAAGCAAGGGTACAGAGACCCCGCGGCTGGTCGCAGATCCGTTCCCCTGCTTCCTCTCTGTTCTTAGTGTGTCGGTTGGGAGGATAATTTTTCAGCAGCGGCAGTTTTGACACTACCTTGCTGCTCCCCGTTAGAGAGCAATCATTCCTTCGTGCCTGCAGGTTGTCTTACCACCGGTCCCAAAGATGTGGGTTCCCAGCCGGGGCTACTTCCTTGCATTGCGTAGTCACTGCCGCGGCTTCTTGTGAGCGTGGGAGAGACCACAGTGTTTCTTAAAAGTATCATTTTGAATGTCTGTTAAAGAAAAAAGTGCAATGGAATAGATTTAAAAAAAAAATGTCAAAGGTTAGAAAACATGGCCCCTTAAGGGCGTTCTTTTTGCCACGTTAGCGGCGCGGAGCCCAGCTCACAGAATGCCTTCCCGGACAGGGTTGCTGCGCTGTGTGTGGATTTGTCAGCGTGCTGTCCGCAGGACTTTCCTCTGGTCTTGTCAGCGGAGATTTGTGTACTGGCTTTGGCATAATTCAGAAACTCAGTTTGAGTTAAACCACATTCAGCCTTTGTTTGAAAGAATTTCTTTTCTACTTTCTGTGTCCCTGCCATTTTTTTTTTTTTTTTTTCTGTTGACTTGTGCTTCAAAGGAGAGGGCTTTTAAACGTCTGGCCGCCTACATGCAGTAGATAGCAAATGTACTAAGGAAATAAACAGTGATTAAGTACAGAACCAGTCTGTCCACATGTGAGGAATTTGACATCGCCAAGGGAAATGCGGAGAAAACGCACTTGCGCTTGAGAAATGGTTGGGTTCAGTGTAGGCCAAGGACACTGAGGACATTGACAGGAGGGGGGAGCATCAACTTTGACCTAAATCTCTCAGGAACATCCTGGTGTTTATAAGTAGGGATTAGATCAGAAATGCTGTGTGCGTTGTTAACCACTGGAATTTTGCAACTGGTCAAAAAACCCCTATTTATGTTTGTTTGCTTAAGTGTGATAGGCAATTTCTGGAGGAGAGAAAGGAAAGCCAGAGAATAGAAGGTTCCAGGGAGGTGGATAAAATTGGATATACGTTCTTAAGAGAGTGGTCAGGGCCAGATAAAGTTGTTCAGCTTTGCTGGCTCTAACACTAGGAGGGGGCTTGTCCTCTGCCACTGGGGGTGGTCTCGCTGGGCTCTGTGGGCGCTCTCCACACAGGTTCTTGGTGGGTGGTGATTGCAGGGCTGAGCCCGAAACAGCAGGCTGCAGGGTGCACTGGGGCCTGGGAAGCGGTTCCTGTGCTGGAATCAACAGCCAGGCCAGGTGGTCTCTTGCTTTCCTGCGTTGCTGCCGAGTCTTTGGTTGAAGGATCATCCATGACCACTGCTGGTTACCATCCTAGTGTTCACAGTACACTGACAAGATCTGCCTGCTGTGTTTTGGGCTGGTAGTTTTTGTCCAGTGTGTATTTAACAAGGATTTAATTAAGGCTGGCTGCTCATTCCATTGTTAGGCCCAAAGTCAGCTGTTTCAGGTAACAGCTTAAAAAATGGTTTTGTTTTGTTTGTTTTTTGTTTTGTTTTGTTTTGTCTTGGGCCAGTACTGTGCACACAGGACCAGCTCAGATCAGTGGAAATGTGAATTTCAGGAGCAGTAGAGATAATGGAAAGAACTGCCTGTAATAAAATTCTCAAATGTGTTTGGGTGTTGCCTAGTGCTATGGTTTGGGTATTAGTTGGATGTTGAGTGTCCTTTCAAGGCTGGGTCCCCAAAGTCTTATGTTAATGGTACTAAGAGGATGTACACTTAATCCACTTCTGCTTGTTGGAGGTGAGGTCTTTGGGAAGTGATCGTGAAAGGTCACCTCAAAACACACCAAACACCGGAGTAAGGCAGAAGGGTTACTGTCAGGTGGGGGAAACCCAACAGGCTGCCTCCCCCTGCACAGAACAGCACCCCGTTCTAGAATAGGTCTTATATAGCTTTGCAGAGGTAAAGAAGTGGGAGCAGCGAATCCTGTCAGGGTGGTGGTGGAGCTGACGCTTGTGGTTGGGCCATTTGGTCACCTGACTTCTAGTAAGTCAGGCAGGGCTTAGGATCGATGTTTATTGTACAAAATGGCAGCGGGGCCAGAGCCCAAGATGGCGCCCCAGATAAGACCATACCATTTTACTAGCAGATTGGATTGGAGGGAGTTGTTAAGGTGGATCCTGTGATTTCTAAGAGACCACAGAGACAGAGACATGTGCTGTGTCTTCCCTGTGATTGCCCTGTGCGCCTAGGACTGCTGGCAGGCACGCCCTGACCAGATGCCAACCGACTGATGGTGGACTGTGAACCTCCACAACCTCGAGCCGCAAGAGCCCTTTCCTGCTTATGAAGTTAGCTTCTCTCACGATGGCTGAGAAAAGGCTGACTCATAGTCTCAGGTGGGGATTTGGTTGGTTCAGTCTGACTTTGCCAAGCTGGTTAATGTGTGATTGGGATTCATTTCTTAATTGCTTTGCTGCAATGCTGCCACAGGTAATTATCTGACATTTATCAGATTCAAGCCCTGTGCTCAGGTTTTACCTGAAGAAACCTTTCATACGACAGCCCACTCATATGGCTCTGTTGTTGTCTCCATTTTTGAGGGGGAAGTAGGATCCCCAGGGGTTAAGGTCCAAGGTCACCCAGGTGGTGAATGGAGAGCAGGAGTTGAACCTGGGAAGACTGGCGCTGGAGTCCCTGCCCTCACTCATTACGGTGTCAGTTTTCACTTTCTGGAGAGCTGTGTTGAGTTATACTTTGTAAAGAAGCTGATGCACGTATCAGCATGGAAATGCCCACTGGGATGTTTGTGACAAAGGGCCAGGTCCTGGGTGTGAACCTTTTTCCTTCCTACTCTTCCTGTTTTAATCTCATCATTCGGCACGGATTTCTGAATGTTCTGGATAGCTGTAGCCAGCTCTTGCCTGGGACCCGGGCATCTTCAGATCTCACAAATACTCTCGAACCTCACTAGTTTCCCCACAAGGCTCATTTCTACAGGATGCTTTGTGTTCTCGATGGTGCCCAAGGATAACCTCATACTTTCTGTAAATGTTTTTTAAGGCAGCACTTTGGACAATGCCACTTTACCATTTTAGTAGCTATTTCATGACCAAAATTCTTGGATATTTGAACATTAAATCCAAATTGGTATTTGATTTTATTTGTAGTGGTATTTGATTTTATTTATGGTATAAAATATGAAATCTTCTGAGTCTCACTTTTCAATTATGTTTTTTGGGCAACTTGCCCAGAATGCTCTCCTCAGTGCAAGAAAAGCAGTATGACTTTACCAGATATACAATAAAACAAATCAAGAGCCAAATTTTATGTGTTAAACATGTAAATATTGAAAAAAGTAACTTTATTAAGTTTGGGTTCCAATAGAATGTTTACTTTAACTACATATTAATATTTGCTGCCCAGAAAAGCATTTCAAAATTCAAAGCATTGTATTCAGAGTATCTTGGTAATTTTTAAAAAAAATATAGACAACTGTGTTCAATTTCCAATGACAAGTTTTTGACATAAGGCAAAAAAAAAAAAACAGAAAATTTTCAAATGAATAGCTATCTGTAATTAATATTTAAGTAACAGTCTTGGAGATGTGAGAATATGGCAATTTCTAATTTTTTAAAAAATTCCATAATTCAGAAACTGGCACCTTATTTTTGTAATCTGTGTGGGAAGAGGCTTTACCAAATATCTTCAGGCAGTTCCTCATAAAACTGAAATTGGCATTGCTGCCATAAGCTTCAGCAACAAAACTGTTGGAAGAGGAGGTTCCATGAGCTCGCCAGGTTGGCTGTCACAGGTGCCGCAGGCTGCAGCTTCAGCCATATTTCTTTATTCCCAAAGGCTGAGACAAAAGAGACAAATAGAGACAGCAAAGGAGAGAGAGAGAGGAAGAGAGATTGTCCATCTGCTGCGTCACTCTCCCCAAATGCCGGCAACAGCTGGGGCTGGGTCAGGCCAAAGCCAGGAGGCCAGAATTCACTCTGGGTCTCTCTCTCACCTGAGTGGCAGGGGCCCAACTATGTGGGGAGCAATCCGGACTAGACTGAGTTATTGGAATTAAGACTTATTCTATGCATCTGCTCTCCCACAATATGGCGCTGGGAGAGAAGTAAACAGCTTCTGCACAGCTGCCTCCAGTTCAACCAATAAACTGTAGGACTTGCTCCTGATTGGAGGAGAGCAGCGTACTCGGTGTGTGGGCA